TTATAGAGAGCGGGCGAGGAGGATTTAGGATGGATCTCCTCACCCACTCTCTATACCCTCTCGGGATTTGTCTCTGGTCCTTTCGGCTCTTCAGAGACCCCCCTTTGAGCCTTTGCAGTCAGCTGAGTTAAAAATTCTGTCCTGTAAAACAGTACTTCTGCTTGCATTGGTCTCCATCCAGAGAGTAGGGGATCTGCATGCATTTTCGTTTGACGAAACATGACTAGAAATACATGCACAAGGTTCCTACCACTCCCTTCTGGGACCAGGTGGTGAACCTACAAGTGCTGCCTTTGGAAGAGGCAGACTCAGCCCTGACTTTTCTTTGTCCCGTCTGCGCTCTGGGCCTGTGCGTGGACAGAACGCAAAGCCCCAGGACCTCCGATCAGCTCTACGTCTGTTACTAAAGGGAAAGGCTTTCTTCAAGCAGAGGTTGGCCCACTGGATAGTGGATGCCATTGCCTTGGCTTACGATGCCCAAGGCGTGCCTTGCCCGCCCGGGTTGACAGCCCACATCACTAGGAGTGTCGCTTCTTCTTGGGCACTGGCACATGGCGCCTCGCTGACAGATATCTGTAGAGCTGTGGGCTGGGCGACACCTAACACATTTGCAAGATTTTATAGCCTACGGGTTGAGCAGTTTTGTTCCTGTGTGCTCGCTGTGAGTTTCTCCGCACCCCTTTGGTAGTCGGACTGTAACTGTCCGGTGTAGCCTCCCCCTTCTTAGGCTGGAGCCACCCCAGTGAAATTCCATGTTGCACTGCCCCTACCGGCCAGTCCATATGTGTATTCTCCACGTTACATTTGGGCAAGATGTGGCTTCCGCAGTGTCCCCTTCCCCTGGAAAGGCATGCTTTCCCAGTGTTATCCAAGAGTTCCACTATGTGGGTTATAATGGAGCAGCAGTCCAAACTCCCTCTACGCAGGCCTTCTGCCCCAGCCATTTGGGGGTCTGAGAGTCTTGCATAGGGCACTGGATGTGGCAGCAACCGTGGTATTTTCCACGAGATCCTAATTACGTTGTTATGTCACGTCGAAAGTGAGCAACTGAAAAGGAACGTCTCGGTTACTAATGTAACCCTCGTTCCCTGAAGGAGGGAACGGGGGACGTGACGTCCCGCCAACACGGTTGCTGGCCATCGCTGTACGGCCACCCGTGCACCCGCTTCCTGTTTACACCCGCGCTTCTCGGGCACACCAACGTTCATTGGTTTGTTCTGTAGACACTCGAAGTTGATGGGGCTCCCTCAAGTTATCCCAAGTACGTTGTCACATCGACGTCACGTCTCCTGTTCCCTCCTTCATGGAACGAGGGTTACATTAGTAAACGAGACGTTTTCCATTTGGATTATAAAGATTATTTTTGTTTGTATTCCTTCGTTGTCTGCTCTTAGCAACAGCCACCTAGCGTTACAGGTGTATTATGAGGCATAATTAATGTAATAAGAATACTTTTGTAATGTATTATACATACAGGCAACAAGTAAAGTGTTACCTAACTGTTCTGCATACTTTCACAAAGCATTATCCTAACTTAAAAGATCTAATCTAATACAATATTCAAGATAAAATTTTAGTCAAAGGACACGGCCACAGTTCTTTTGATACATTCTGCTAAAAAGGTAATTTGTCAGTGATCATAATGAGTTTATTCCAGAGAATGTGTGATTTCATTCACTTCCATTTCCAAGGTCCATTCGTAGATTTCCCTGCGCTCCTCTATAATAAGCTATTTAATCCCTTTACAGGCTGAGGATTAACACTCATCTGACAGGGGAACAGAACTGTGACTCTAAGCTTTTTTTCTTAAAAGAACTTATGTCTAAGCTCCATTACACTGTAGAGTTGCTCCTAGGAACAATGTAAGATTCTAGAAGGGGCACCAAACATCTATTTTTAAGGGGGCACCAGTAGATGTCAGACTTGTTTCAGTCAGGGCAGAAATAAATTACATTAATTATACAAAAGGAGAAAAGATTGAACAATCCTGTAGCTTAAACCATATCATGGCACTAAAAACACTAAGTCAGAGTTCTCATGAAGTACGTGAACTAATAAACCATATACCTTAAATACAATGCAAGTCTGTCTAACACATAGGATACACTAAATTTGGGATCAGTTAGATGTTAAGAAAGAAGTACAGTAATACAGTAATATTGTGAAATATTATTACAATTTAAAATAACTTCTTTTGTATTTTAATATATTTTAAAATCCCTGTGATGTCACAATTGAAGAAACATTTGTGTCTTATTAAAATATTTGAAAACAGTTGTGCTGCTTAATATTTTTGCGGAAACAAAATAAATAAAATAAAAATTGGTCACTTTTGCCTCATTGATAAGTATTAGTGTAGGCCTATTTCTTTAAAAATTAAAAATAAATCATACCCAAAACTTTTGAATGGTATTATTAAAATTAAGAATTAAAAGGATGATATTGACAACCTGCACAGCTCATTTTAATTAAGAATGTATGTAATTTGTGTGTGTGTGTGTGTGTGTGTGTGTGTGTGTGTGTGTGTGTGTGTGTGTGTTTTTAACCATCTGGCCTGCTTGTCTGCTAAGTTTCTATTTTAAATGTAGTATTGGGCGAACTATTGGGCGAACTATTCCTTTAAAGGGCCATTTGTATTTTACAACCTATGCATATGTGTGCTCTCAAACACTGTCTTCTCCAGCACAACCTATATCTTGTTCCCAACCTATATCTTGTGAGTGGTGTCTCTGTGTCATGAAGTGGACCAGTGTGGTACTGGGGGACAGGTGTCTCTGGCTGTCAGGAAGACACAATCACAGTAATCACCTGCGTCATCTCTCTGTGGGAATCCTCCCTCAGTTCCCTCTCAAAAGTGCCTGTTTCCTGCACTAATACAACTGAAAGAAACCAGAAGAGCAGTGTGGCTTATGTCACTGCAATCCTTAAGTGGATTAGTAATTTAGTACTCGCACTTCCTTTATAAGTGTATCAGATGGCAACAGATGGGAGGAAAAGCGAAAAGGGTTTAATTATTTTTTTGATGTTTTTTTTTTTTTTGTCTTGCATGTTTTCTCTCTCTCCAACAGTAATGGTCTCAACAACCGCTGTACATTCTAGAATACATTATGGCTCAATGCATTTTTGCATTGCACACTTGATTAAAAAATTATTTACACTCTAGCGGTCAAACGTTTGGAATAATTACTATTTTGAAATAAGTCGCTCATGCTCAAAAAGTAAAAAGATTAGTATTGCGAAATGTTATTAGAATTTAAAATAACCATTTTCTATTGATTTTTTCCTTAATTTAGACTAATTTATTCCTGTAATGCCAAAGCTGAACATTTCATTACTCAATCATTACTCCAGTCTTCAGTGTCACATGATCCTTCAGAAATCATTCTAATTAGCTGATTTGGTGCTGAGTTATCATATGGTGTTTAATTATTAATAATGGCTCCTATACTATAGTATTCTTATATTCTTGTGTGCATATAAATTTGCAATGCAAAAGATTTTCCCCTTTTGTGTTTATGAATTGATCATTTACAATATATCTCACAACTAATGAATATAGTTCAGTAGTTAAAACTTAAGTCAACTTAAATTGTTCCCCTTTTAATTCACACTATACTATGCTACTGTAACCTTTTCATAGAAACAATTTCAGCAATTGAAAATAACAAAGGCATCGTATTTTTCTCCCCCATTGTTTTAACCAAGGCTTTATTGACGTACATTCTCAGAAACCTGAAGAGCCCATTTAAGAAAAGCACTTGTTATCCGGAACAATTGTACCCTGTTTTTTTTACGGCCATTACAAATGTATCAATCTACGTCAATTCAGGACACCCAAGAGGTTTTATTGAATACATGCTCTAGAGCAGACCGGTGGGCAAATCAAAAGGTCCAACATAATCTTTGTAAATTGCCATCTTAATGCATTGGATTAATGCTCTTAAGCATTAATGAGATCTGTCACAATGTACAAATACACTAATTATGTCTATTGTCTATTCATTCAGAAATTTGTATGGATTTTATGGAGAGCAAACACCGGATTCTCTTATCCTGCTGTCACAACCACCTGGTGAAATGGGCACTTTTTAGGAAGTTGAAGACAATAAGGGCAATTCTTGTCAGATGCATCTGTCCCACACGTGCATAAAAGTACTTTAATCTTACAGTAATCTCCACATATGTGTTTTGCGTACAAATTCAAAATCAAAATCATTTAAACATCCACAATGGTAGTTACTTCTCTCATAAGATAAAACTTGTCAGCTAAAGACAAATTTAAATATCAGGTTAACAAAAGTCTTGCCAACTCAAGAAAGATTAAAAAAAAAAAAAACATCTGTCAGATCGCATATGTCTCTCACAAACACAATCTTTGCCATAGGTCACATTGCACATTGCATGTTAACATTTAAGCAAATACTGGACATCTTTAAAAAGGTCAAATAAAGTATGATCCTATTTTAACTTAATCATCAAGAGCTGAATAATATTTGTTAAGTGGAAAATGTTAAATTATTGGAACAAGAATAACCCATGAGAACAAAGGTCAGTGAATGATGACAGAATTGTCATCTTCAAGCGAACTATTACTCGAAAGAAAGCTTTTTTCATTAAACAAATTAATAATGTAACTGCAATATGTCTCTGACCCCTCACCCTCAGGATAATTCAGCCCGATCTCATGAAAGTTCGTATCCTGTGTTGGATAATTCATAATATGAATTGCGAATGTCTCTGCTTCATTATTAAACAACCTTTGCCTGTTAACATAGCCCAAATAATGTATATTCTGTATAAGTTTACATTTACGTTTCAGCTTTGAAGGTTATTGACCACTATTAGAGGCGAGGCAAGGCAAGGTAAAACTGTGTTAAACACAAGTAAATAAATAGTTTGTGCCCCGTGCATTCAGCGCGATCTGAATGAAAGGATAATGCATTTTAATCAACAGTTGAAACCCTGATGCTCTTCCACACAGACAACAACAAAGTACTTACATGGGAGGACTGGGGAACTGCGATGGGCACGAGATATGAACAGAAGCGAAGAAGAACATCATCATCACGGAGATTCGGACCGGATTCATGATCAGATCTGTTGATCCTGAACGTATCCACACCAGTTACTTTTCTTCAGAGATATATTGTGTCGCTCTCCTGTCCTGCTGGATAATCTGATTTATTCCCGTCATCAGTTTAGATACAGACGGGATCGGATTGTTGATGAATGTCCTGTTGGATATCTCTAAACGCGCACCGCTCCGTGTTGCATGGCAAAAGCGCGTGTGTGGCTCTTCTGTGTGATCCTGCGCGCGCTCTGATCAAACTACTGACCCCATATAGAGGGTAAGGAGAGATCAATAGCCCCGAATCAACGTCATTCTGCCCCCACCTCTCTTGCCCTCTTATTGCAATAGCCTGTTATCTTTCATCGGATCTTGATATAAGCAACCCTCTCCAGTCCCTCTCTCCTCCTCCTCCTCATATGCTTCCTCAACACACACTAAGAAACACCCTTTCTGAAATCAATTAAGAATGCGCACAAAAGTGCCAAGATACTCTCCTGAAAGCCAACACAAAAGGATTTGGCATACGTGGATATGTGTGTGCATGCATAAAGAAATTAAATAAATAATTAATCAAAATTATTGTATTTAATTGTATTTATATTTTAAATTATTCTTATACTTACGCAACGTCTATATAAATAACTAATTGTAGATTAACAAAACAAAGTCATCTACATGCAAAAAAAATTTATTAATTTTGATTAGCCTGATAAAATAGTAAATTAAAGCTATATATAACGTCTGTATAAAACTACAATAATAACACTAATGATAATACTAATTCGATTATTATTAATTTGCCAATTATTTATTAGCCTATGTTTTTAATTCTAATTTTAAAAGTATTACACATATAATATATTTCATTTATCATTATTATACTAGTAGTATTATTATAAAAACAACAAAACAATGTATGCAAAAAAATAAAAAAAATAAAAAAATAAATAAATAAATAATAACACCAAACTACATAAAGACACTGAGCATTGTAGTTGAAATAGCCGGATATCTAGGCTAAGTGAAGTCGAATCATTGCTTTTTTTTTTTTCTTTTCTTTTTTTTTTAACACATCCGTTCATTATTCATTCAGGGCATCAATAAATGATGCATCTCATTCATAAACGCTTGTATGCCTAGGCTATATTTTGCATGCACGGCATCCTTTTTTTTTTCTTTTCTTTTTTTTTTTTTTATAATGTAAGGCAATGCTATAAATCGCAGGCGATTTATATGGTCGTTTAAATGAGATACTCTTTATTTTTCTTCCCAATGCAATAAAGTTAATAAGCGAGCGAGCAGGGATGGGAGGCAGGTTGGGGCAGGCGAGTTACCCAGGGATTTCGGCTTTCAACCGTTGCCAGGCAACCGCGCTCTCCGAGGCAACAACGAGTGTCAAAGCAAGGCGCGTGCAACAGGGCGCGAGACTGATAGAGAGCGCGAGCTCTATAATAGGGAAGGCCTTGTGCTTTTGTTTCCCGGTCTGCATGACGGTCCATTAACACCCATCCATCCCATCGAACTGCGGATCCAAAAGGGCCTAGAGGAGGTTTTTGTACTGATGCACCAACCGCAGCCCCTCTGATGGAGAAGAGATACAGTGACCCTTTAGCTTCAGGTAGAGAGTAGCCAACTATAACAGGCCAGGATAAAAGCCCCTGGCCTGCACTCGGCTAAATGAAAAGATGCCATCCCATCATCAAAAACACACTTTCTCATTAAAATTCCCAATAGGTCTTAAATAGACAGCGCTGTTGTGACCTCTTTTCCTCTCATGCACGGCCCAGCTGATGATTAAAGGATGCTGGAAAGCGGAGTGCATGTGCACTTTGCTTGCAGTTTAATGTGTTCATCCAACTCTTTTCAAACAGGTCTGTGTTTACAGGGTCGGGCCTGCACACAAGAGGCTCTGTCAGTGAAGTGTATTAGACATCGATGTGCATTAAAAGCATTTCCGAGGACCTTCCAGGTGCATTTGTGGGTGAAACTCTTTATGTGTCTGTGAAGTGTTGGTCTGTTTGAGAGCGCGCCTGTGGCTTGACCCTGGGCCACTTAGTGAAAGCTAATGACTAAGCTCATTTAATGATGGCTGGAGAGTCTCAATCTGTTTGTCTAGACCAGGGTTTTCAAACTGGGGGGCCATGAGGAAGTTCTAGGGAGTCTGTGGAAAAGTTGTAATTATAGGGGATGGGGAAATATAAGGGATGTATGCACTATTACAGAGTAACATTTTTTGTTTGAGCAACATTAAGTTGGTGGTTGTTTGTGCTAGAGCTCCCAAACTTGACACACGGTAGCCACATTTGTCTACTATAAAACTCACTTGAATCTGTAGGCTACTACACAATCACAAGAAGCAATTATTACCTAATCAACCAATCATATGGCAATTGCTTCAATGCATTTATGGGTGTCAAGACAATCTGCTGAACTCCAAACTGAATGTCATAATGGGAAAGAAAGGTTATTTAGCAAGACTGGTTTCGCCAATCCCCATTTAACATATCTAACATATATCATACCTTTTGCGATAATATAAAACTCTTCTGATATTAGAGTAACAAAACAGAAGAATAAAATGGACCTGGGAAGGGTTTAGTTTGTAAATTATTATGTTTTAAACCATCATCACTCTCATCATTAGAGACTATTTCCCAGTCAGCCTCTGGCTCATATTCGTGACATCAAACATAGCCTACTCTCAAAACTAGCATTTTCAACATCTTCCAAATCAATATTTTGATCACTGACGGCTTCTACATCAGATGCACCATCTGTAATGGAGTCTGGTTGACATCTAGTGAAAAAGTTTGGTACTGCGCCCAAACAAAATCTTACTGAAAGCATATTTTTTGAGATATCAACCTAAAATTTTAAACAAAACTTATTCATATTTTTGGCTTTGATTTTTATGCAGTTTTAGAGTAGCCCAGGTATTGAAAATATACATTTCATATAAAATTTTAATTACATTTGTTTTTACATTGTACAAAACTCAAACCTCTATAACTTTTTTTTTTCTGTTTCACTTTCTTAATTTATTTCACTTCACAAAAATCTGACAAATGTCTTATTTAAAATAAGACCAGTCTTACATTTATTTTCCACACCATTCTTGAATTACAACCATTTATGTTCAAAATGTACATGTTCAAATTTTCATGTCTATTAGAAAAATGGGGGTGACACTTAACAGGTCAAATTAGCACAAAAACAATTGTGTGTATTGTATTCCTGTCACATCCAGACACTAGCTTTTTTGTCACTAGCTATATCAGTCACCATTTTTATGTGAATTATGGGATATCCCATAGAAAAACGCAGGATGGAAACTCCAAGATGCACAAAAATAAAAAATAAAAAGTGCACAAAAAACATTTGCACTCACTTAAGGCAGATGTTTTTATCTGTTAGGCACAAAAACTATGATGAAAACAAAATCCTTAGATGTGCAACAAAAAATGAATGGGGTCAATAATTAAATAAATCCAAATTGTGCTATACTGCCCTCTTGTGTTCAAAAACACGTTCCCTCTCTTCTGCTCGTCCCTCACCGCAGACGCACACAGTTATATTATGAATGCCTGTGCAGTCGTGAGCATTTTAGTTTAATTTTAAAAATAGCGGCATTTCGGGGGACGTATTGATGTATTTATTTTACAAAAACACAATGTTGTGTTTTTTTGGGAGTGTACACAAATATAAGAAAACACACATACGTAATTGCACGTTGTACACAACAACCCTAAAGGCACCAGGGTCGCGGTGCCACTAGCTTTTTATATACAGTGAGCCCATTCTCATCCCAAAGCGCCATATAGGACGCTTTTGCAAAAGCGTAAATATCCAACGCACATGGCACCCTTTAACGTCAAATGAGACGCAGATATATTTGGGCAGAAGGCGCCCCCTAGTGGTCTAACCCTTACCCTACACCATACCTAAACTTAACCATAACCGAAGCGTCTCATTAGACGTTAAAGGGTGCCATGTGCGTTAAATATTTACGCTTTTGCAAAAGCGTCCTATATGGCGCTTTGGGATGAGAATGCGTTGATACAGTATATATGTGGCCCTTATATATGAAGGGCCAAAGCCGGTGGGTGGTTGTTGCTGTGCCACCGGCTTGGGCCCGTAATCGCTGCTCACAGCTATATTTTTTGTTATTTTGTGACCAAAATGTATTTTCGATGCTTCAAAACATTCTAACTAACCCACTGATATCACATGGACTACATTGATGATGTCTTTATTTCCTTTCTGGACAAGGACAGTATACCGAACATACATTTTTAATGAAGGGACAGAAAACTCTCGGACTAAATGAAAAATATCTTGAACTGTGTTCCGAAGAAGAACGGATGTCTTACGGGCTTGGGACGACATGAGGGTGAGTCATTAATGACATAATTTTCATTTTGGGTAAACTAACCCTTTAAAGAAAAAACTGATGACTGACTTTTAAGACTATTCTTAGCAGTTTATGCATCCGGCCCCTCGGTCTAGACTACCGTACATTTGTGAAACTTAAGAGTGTGCATTACAGTTTTGTTTTTGGTAACTCAAGCTACGGCGTTAATTAGGCCTGATTCTGAAACAAACACATAGTCTCTCGGGAGAGTTTTGAGGAAGCTAATTAACTTCAGATAATAAGACGTTTGTCAAAGCAATGCTGCGACGGCTATCGAGCTAAAAATCGTGAGCGGCTTTTGCTTGATTTTCAGGGAAAGAGTTCTCAGTTGCACAGTATTATCGAGTAATGCTGGCTGATTAGACACATCGGAAACCAGAATTTATCATGGTCTACTGAACTGAAGATGATGAGTATCACACACTCACTAGCACATCCTGCTATCCAAGCTACATCACTCCCCTGGGCCCTCCTACCCCTGTACCCGCGTCTCCATGGCAACATGCCCTGCCTTACATTACCCAGAGAGAGAATTGATGCTCACAAACACTCCTCTCAGAGTTGAGTATATGGCTCTTGACAAACCTGAGGCTACATGGAGAGTATCTTTGTGTGATGGCAGGACTTGTTATCGTTCTGGTAAGGCTGCCTTGTGTTGTTTAATTTAGCCCTGACAAAATACTGAGAGGATAATGAGGCTAGGATGAGTCATACTCCCTCTTTCTCCTTCATTTTCTCTTTTATTTCCTTAGTATGTATGAGCATGTTTGTTGCAGATCAAGCACTGATCGTTTAGTTGGTCACCTCAATTAAGCTATTGCTTTCTTTTCATAAACTGAAACGGCTGAGCTAATTTAACTTCTTTTTGGATACTCATGTATCTGGCCAGGCTCCGAGTTGCTTCCTATGTAATTATTAGATACATGTCTCCCTCTGCTGACCAAACACTGTAAATACAACACCGTGTATCACACAAAACCTGTCCATCCATTCACTCTGCATATTTTACCCCAAATCAAAAAGCAAAAAAAAGAAGAAATGGAAAATGAATAAGAAACCATATTTGTATAAAGGAAAAGACTTTAAAAGAACCATTATATAACCTTTTATTATTATTTTTTTTAAATAGTTCATGATTTTGTTCAATTTGTCCAACCATCAAATAGGGCTGCACAGTTTGGGTTTTTTTGTGGTCAAAATTGTGCTTTGCATTTAAAAAAAAAAAAGATTGTGCTTGTTTGTAGGGCTGCACAGTTTGTGCTTATATATTTACATGACTAATAATAATAATAATTATAAATTATTATTATTATTATTGCTAATTAATAATGGGGGTGGAAATTACACTAGAGAAAAACAAATGGATTATCATATACATTTATTTAGATATAAGTTTTAAAGCTCGTCTGCAGTTTTTCCTCTTTGTCGCCATCTCTGTTCGAAATCTGCAATTGCAGTAATTTGCGGAATTATCAACTTTACGCGAGTTGTACCTCGGCTCGGCATGGTACAGTGCGGATTAATCCAATGATTTGAGGAGAATGTGCGGTTGTCAGTCACAGCGCCAGTGAGGATTCTCATTCTCAATCCCAGATTCCACTTTTTGGAAGACCAACGTATGAATTTTCACGCTACCATGTCATCTGAACAGGTAAGTAACATCCACTTTTGTTCTTCTCACCAACTCGACTGAAAAAAGGCATTGCAATAAATAGTGCTGATTAAATCTAACGATGGATCATATCACATCAAACCGTGCAAATGATCCTTTGTTCTCAAATTGTTAATGTTAAAGGGATAGTTCACTTTGAAATTAATTTAATATGTTTTAGCTTACCTCAAGGGCATCCAAGATGTAGGTGTCTTTGTTTCCACAGTATTTTCAATTTTGACATTTTTCGGGCAAACCGGTGTTGTCTGTCAGTCATATAATGCAGGTTTAGGGGGTCCACCTCAAAGAGCATGCACAGAGAAGTCAAAATTAAACATGATTTAATGACTCGTGAATGTAAGTACACACTGATGGCCTAAGACACGAAACGAGCAGTATTTATATCGTTTTTACCTCTTGTTAACAGCCGTCGAACTGATCTGAATCTGATGTCCAACTGAACCGAACTGAACCGTCTCCAGACGTTACGCCGGAAATGATCTCTCGCGCGTCTACATCACGCATCGTTTACACAGAGATTTCGGAAGTTTTACCTTTCACTAAACATATTTAGATATACAGGAAATCACAATGGAGGACGATTTTGATATATCTAAATATGTTTAGTGTATTATTTTTTTTTTTTATTTTGGATAATTTTTACAGACTGCAGCTTTAATTAAAAATCGTTTTCATAATCGCACTATGCCACTAAGATTTCACCAGATACAAACATACCAACAATCAAAACATACGAAAGACATTTTCACATTTGAAATAGAATCTATTCTTTATTATTTGGACGCAGGGAGAAAGTTTTTTTTTATATTTTTCTTATTTTTCATATATTATCTTTTCTCTACTGCACAATTTGCATAATTTCATGACATCCTGTGGACAACCACAAAACCATAACATTAGAGTTTTTTTCTACTTTTTTTTTTTACACGAAGTGAAAAACAAGACTCATTTTACAAGCATTTTTACAGTCCGCATACAACTTCAGGTGATGTGTTCAATTTTTCTCTCTTTTTAAACTGAATCTGGAGGCAAAATATATCAACAAACATCTAACAAAACATGCAACATCTATGTAAAAACATAGAAACTCTTGGACAACATTCAATTTTACAGGAAATTTTGTGTTGTCTTTTTTTCCATTTTTTCTTCTTTTTGTTTTTTAAACCTTACCGTTTTCAATCTGAGAGATGCTGTTGATTTCATCAAACAGGTTGGAATGGGTTGATCGAACACATGATTTTAAACCAATTCAGATATTACTTTCTTACACATTTAGACAAATACAGTATGTACAGACAGAGTTTGACCTTGATCACAATCACATGCTCAACGTCAGACCAAATAAATATTCACTTTTTTTCATAGAAAATATCCTATATATTTACAAACCAAAAAAAAAAAAAAAAAAAAAAAAAAAAAATCACATTCACACTGTTTACGGCAACTGAATTCATCAAACGCATCGTCATTTTAAAAGAAATTGGGTAATATAAGAATAGAAGATCATTTTTAGTAGTCAAAAAATGATATGCGCTTGCTTAAAGGGAACAACTGAAGAAAAAAACTTTGAAAGGTGTGATGCTATAGGTGAAAAGTTTATGACAATGACAGGTTTTGATTGGCCATCATAAGTATACGCAATATAAAATATGCAATGTGATGTTTAAAATATGCACAGATTATTTTTTACCAATTTTTATGGTATGTCAGCATATTTCTTTTGTCATTATTTATGATGACATTTGGAAACCTATGAAAACACGAACGTAAAGTGCATTAATATGTACTGTGCCATAAAGAGTAAGTAAAAATAAATAAATAAAAATAAACACTATACAATATTCATATAATTTATGTCTTGTTTTCTTTAACAGATATACATATATTCAGACTCGCCGGATGCCGCATGTTAAGGTATATGCATTCAAAGAACATAATCCATGTTGCATAGATTTACCCAAACAGAACCAGTGGTTTGGTTAAAACATCAGGTTGGCACACAATAGTTTATCTCACTATGACATCAACCTTTTACTCAGGTACATCTGTGCACCACTTGTGCAAGATGTAGATTAAATAAAATGGAAATGTTGGAGTATGTTTTATTAGCCAGGTTATAAAATGTGTGAGACATGTCCACTGATATATTGATCTTGGAAACACTGACCGTTAAGTTAGAAAATTACTGACTTGTGGTTTTAGGACCTAGACAGACAAAAACATGTGCCTTAATCCATCAATGGCACATACTAGTGTATCTATACACTGATATGGTGCAGAGGCAGTGATCATAATGAAAAAATAACCATCCTTCATAGCTAAACTGACATGACCAGATGAACTTAACAATATTAAAAAGTGTACCACCATGGAACAGTGACACGTGACAAAAGACAGACAGAATTGCACCATTTAAATAAACAACTAACATTACATCTGGATTTTAGTCAAGCCAATTGAGCCAGAACCCTTATATAAATGCCAAAAAGGTATACGTTCATTATTATTATTATTTTTTTTCCCCGTTGCATATTTGGATGCCACATACAACTTGGTCACAAAACGGAGACTATTGATGACAACATCAGATCACTAACATGACATTTACTTCAAGATGCTCTTCATAAAACAAACACATATCAGGGACACGTACAATCATAGTTCTGGACAGAGACTGGATGCCCTTTAACTTCAGAGAACCTAATTTGAGGGCTTGGGATGCTAAAAAACAAAGTACGCCCTCATTTAGCATCCAACAAACATCAAGAAGGTTGTGTGAAAATCATCTCAACTTCAATGAGCCATCCGTATCCAACTGCTGACGTCAGTCTGAAGTTTTTAAAATTCCCTAAACGTTGAAGACGACACTCAAGACAATATAAACAGAGGAATCTTAAATTGTGTGCGTTTGGATGCTGCATTCAAAAAGGGAAATCCATTATATTTACGATTGTCTTTCTTCCTTACAGTATAATCTCCATACAGTGCATAACATAGTCTGATATGGTCATTATATATCACATGATTGTGTCAAAAACTTTAAATTATGCTACGTTTATATCCATGTAAATGTTTTTTTTTTCTTTGAGAAATATGACTGAACATGTGATGACAGCTAAAATGGCATTGAAATGTAGAAAATCTCAAGTAATGATTGGCTCATGCCTAAGATATTTTAGATGTAGAATGTAGTTGCAAAAAGACAACCACAGTGCATGGGGAGTGGAAATGGATTTCCATATCCTTATTGGGAATGGTTGGGAATTTGGAGCACAGTTTTCAGTTAGAAAACCAGCAGTCTCACCCTGCAGACTGTTCGACGCAGTAGTCAGTTTATTTCTTCACCTTGATTTTATCTTTCCATCACCTGTCAGCCATTCCAGATTCCCAAACTCACCATTTCCTGTTTTAGTTCTTCTTATTTTTTTGGAGGGCAAAGATGGGAGATGGATGGGCATCTGATTATGGCTGTGTTTGATTGGTGGTGGCCACTAGCTTGTGCCAGCTGACCGCCCGCTTACGCATGTCCACTTTGTCCAGCCAGATGTAGGCCTCACCAATCAGGGTCTTCTTCATAAACTTCCCTCCATTTGACACCAGAAACATCTGTAAATAGGAAGGGAATGCAAGACAGGGGAAAGGGTAAACAAAGGGTGAGTGAAAGAGTTAAGTTTAATACAATATTATACATACACTACTGTTCAACAGCTAGGGGTAAGTAAGATGTTTTTTTGTTTTTTTTTAAATAAATATATACTTTTATCTATTGACCGTAAAAGGGTCATCAAAAAATCTTGAAAACAATGTATCACGATTTCCACAAAAATAACATGCAGCACAACTTTTCAACATAATAATATTAAATGTTTCTTGAGCAGCAAATCAGCATATTAGAATTATTTGACAGAAGACTGGAGTGAAAGATTCTGAAAATGTAACTTTGTCATCATAGGAATAAATTACACCTTAAAATAATGTGTATATATATATATATATATATATATATATATATATATATATATATATATATATATATATATATATATATATATATATTTATTTATTTATTTTTTATTATTTATTTTTTTTGCTGCATTTGCGAGTTTAAGAAACTTTTAAAAACATAACCAAAAAGGTAACACTTTACTTGAAGGGGTGTGCATGAGACTGACATGATAACACCTTCATAACCATGACATGACATATGTCTTGAATATGAAGTAGGGTTTATGCATGTTTATGACAACTGTCAATAAGTGTATTTCACTCAATAATGACATTTTGAATGCAAATATGACATTGTTAAAGATGTCTTTGTTATGACATCTTGACATAAACCAGAACATCATAACCAATCAATTTCTTTGTCATGACAACTTGACATAAAATTAAGTTAAACTGTCATGTGGTTGGCTTTGACATTGGCTTTCATGAGGCCATTATAACTGTGGGATGAATATTTTTCGTGACCTCAACTACAGTGGTACTAATTGAATTTGTCATTAAAAAGTTATAATGGCTTCATGACAGCCAATGTCAAAACCAACCGCCTGACAATTTAATGTAAGATTAACCATTAAAGCTAGATGGTTTCTTAAATTTGATCATTAATCTGCTATGTCATGTTTATGACAGATTGTGTCATAAAGACACTGACAGACACTCAAAGACACTGACAGGCTATGATGTATTGGTTTGTCAAGGTATCATAACAAAGACATCTCAAACAATGTCATATTTGCATTAAAAATGTCACAACTGAGCGATTGACACTAAATGACAGTTGTCACAAACATACATACAACTTCCTTCATATTCATAATATATGTCATGTCATGATTATGAAGGTGTCATGTTACTCTTAAGCACACCCCTTCAAGTAAAGTGTTACCACCAAAAATCTTACCCCAAACTTTTGAATGCTATGGTAGTGTGTGTTTGTGACTATATATTTGTAGTTTGTCATTTCTCTCACCTGAATAGAGTGACCAACAGGATTCAGGTTAAAACGAAATGTCTCATTGAATGACGGCTCTCTGTCATGGCGACACACTCGGGTCTTCTTCTTTATGATCTTCTTTTGAGTTGCCACATTCACCACATAAAGTTTTACATACAAGTCTACAAAGATAGGTGAAATATAATAGATTTGTTAGCATTTCAAGTTGAAAGTAAGCAAAATCTTTCTCAATATACAATTCACTTATCTTGACGACATTACTTTATGTCATTTGTATTTATGAGGATCTGTTGAGGAACATTGCATTACCGGGTAGGTGGTCTGGAGATTTGAACTTGTAGGTGATGTTTCTACACTGCAGGATCTCAAGAACCAACTGCTCTCCTTCAGTCTTCATCTCTTTCTTCAATGCAACCTTGATCTCACCCATCATCTTACCTACAGTCAGACGATAGATAGATAGATAGATAGATAGATAGATAGATAGATAGATAGATAGATATAGATAGATCGATAGACATGCAATAGATATAAAGATACATACAGTACATACATAGATACATAGAGTAACAAAATACAACCTTTTCTGTTTCATATATTTGTTGTATGTATCTTCATTTACTGCATATTGTCAGCTGTTCTAAATAAATTGCTGTTCACAAATACAAGTTGTGGGCAATGGCGACCTCTAGAGGGCAAAATTTTGCACTAAGCAAAAAGTAAATGGTGTCAAAACGTTCATAAGAAATGAACTACAGGGGTTGGACAATGAAACTGAAACACCTGGTTTTAGACCACAATAATTTATTAGTCTAATAATTCATCATGTTGTCTTGAATGACAGATATGTGCCCTGATATGTGCTATGTGCGGATTTTGAGCCATTCCTCTTCCAGTGGCTAGGTCACTATGGTGAAGCTGGTGGAGGAAAGCGTTTCCTGACTTACTTCTCCAAAATACCCCACAGTATGTTGATTGTCTTCAGATCAGGTGACTGTGCAGGCCATGAAAATGTTCAACTTCACTTTCATGTCCATCACTCTGTCACCGGTCTTGCTGTGTGTATTTGTGCATTAGGTTCCCTCGTTAATGAATGACTACACAAGAACCAATAAGTAACACAATCTAATAACTAATATTAACTTACAAGAAACTCTGATTAACAAACTAGTAAGTAATTGCGCACAGATGGAAGTGGTAGTTCACTATTACCTAATCAATAACTACTATAACTACTACTGTTTCCCAGAGAACTACTGAAAAAGTTTATTAACAATCTAGTAACTACTATTAACTAAAAAAAAACTCTGATTAACAAATTAGTAAGTAATAGTGCACAGATGAAAATGTTACTACATACTTCTAATGGGAATGACTAATTATTTGGATCCGTATTAAAGTGAAGATCATGGGAGCTAACAAGTGATGACTAAAGTGTTACTACATACTTCTGTGGGAACAGCTTGTTTTCACGTGACGTCACGCCACTGCGTTGCCATGACGCGAAACGCAGATGGAGGGCAGGAAGTGATTTTATATATTTAGGAAGCACTATAACACACTCAAAATGCCTATGTTTTATGTCGTTTATGGTTGCTCAAATCGATCAAACCACGAGGAGTTTTTATCGTGTGCCAAAAGTTGTTGTTCATAAGGGTGGAAAATACAAGAAATTGACAGAAAAACACCGGGGAAAAATGCCTTGCAAACCTACGTCTGCGGTCGGGAGGAGCCGAATGGGAAAATGCCTGTGTGTGTGTGTGTACAGTGATCACTTCTTCAAATGTGAATATACATTATTTATGTGGCTTATAATTACATTATTCAGGTGTTTAAATACAATTATGTGTAACGTACCAGTTTCCGAACTTTTTAAAGTCAAAGTATGTCTGTAAGACGAGTTAGTTGCTGATATCTACAGCCTTGATGGCAGGCAAATCTCTCAATTCAGTTGAAAATCGGTCCTCTTCATAACGTAAGGATCACGTCCAACATATGTTTCGATTTTCTGTTTATATATTTCTCTTGTAATAGCGTCTAAAGTAGTACAGTACGGATTTTCCTCCATCTCATCCATTGCGCTCTTCACTCCTTGTCCTCCATCTGCATTCCGCGCGTCAACACAATCACGTGACTGCAAACCACCTAAATTATATGGATCCATATTATAAAGTGAAGATCATGGGAGCTAACTAGTAATGACTAAAGTGTTACTACATACTTCTGTAGGAATTACTAAATTACATGGATGCGTATTATAACGTGAAGATCATGGAAGCTAACTAGCAATGAGTCAAGTGTTACTACATACTTCTAAAGAAATGTTCTTCTAAAAGTATACTAAAGTTCACCAAAAATCTCAAACGCTTGAAATGACTTTAGTGTTTGATTGCACAAGTCATGACTAGATCATGTAGTAACACTTGAGTCATTACTAGTTAGTTCCAATGATCTTCACTTTATAATACGGATCCAAATAATTAGTAATTCCCAAAGAAGTATGAAGTACCACTTTCATCTGTGCACTACTTACTAGTTTGTTGATCAGAGTTTCTTGTTAGTTAATAATAGTTACTAGATTGTTAATATTGTGTTACTCATTGGTTCTTGTGTAGTTAATAATTAATGAAGGAACCGTATTCTAAAGTGTTACCGTGCATTATCATCATGATACACAACACCACCTTCAGGGTACAATATTATAACCATTAGGTGCACATGGTCCCCTAGACTGGTTGAGCAGTCCTTGACAGCATTTAGCACAAGTAGTGCGGTAACGATATTGCATCCCAAACGATCCACCTTGTGCTTCACTCTGGGCAGCAACAGTCCCAACGCATTCACACCCCAAGGTGTCACCTTTTGACCATGCTTCAATATTCGAAGCTTTAGGCGCCCTTTAGCGTCAGCAGTGTTGGGGAGTAGTTAACTACAAGTAGCGACGCAACTAACTTAACTACATTTTTCAGTAGCTTGGCAGTAGCTCAGTTGCTTTTTAAACAGTGTAGCTTTTCCCGTAGCTAACTACTTTTTGCATCAAGTAGCGGTGTAGCGCGAACAAAAGCTACATTGGGATTCTCGAGCCTGCGCAAATCAGCGTGATACAAGGATATTCTTCTTCTTGTTAGATTACAAACTCATTTTTTGCCATTACCGCCACCTGTTGTTTAATCACGCATCTTGCGGCTAACGGTTCACTGACGTACAGAAGTGGGTTGGAGCAAGACGTGACGGCAGATTTGGAGGATGAAGAAACAACTAACTTTTAATTACCCATGGCCTTATTTGTCCAAGTTCAATCGGTATTTTTGAGAAAATGTTCTACATGCAATTTACGTTGGATGTATATTTTGTTCTTGCAATGTTGTAGGCTATTTGTTGCAATTTTGCACTTTTGACAAACAGTCTGAGATATTTGAGTGTTGTGTGAAATAAAACAATACTCTTTGAAATCATAATTGTATTGCATTATTTTAAACACTAAATATTTTACTTAAAACATTTCTCAGACACTTATTCAGTTATTTATAATATACGTTGTTCAAAAAAGGCATTAATTTCAATGTAGCTAGCTACTTTTTGATAGTAACTTGTAGTGTAGCTAACTACTTTTCCAAAAGGGTAGCTTGACTGTAGTTTAACTACTTTAACTTATGAATAGCTTGTAGCTTGTCAAACTACAGTTTCAGAGTAGCTTCCCCAACACTGAGCGTCAGTAACATGACGCGATCCTATGGCTCCATATAACTGACGCTAAAGGATAAGCATCAGTTAGATGACGCGGGTAGGTTTAGGTCTGGGGTAGGGGTGGGCTTACAGGTGTCATCTAACTGACGCTAAATGGTGCCTAAATCGTCAGATATTGACGCATGGTCAAAATGCAGTTAGGTGACGCCTTGGGGTGAGAATGGGCTGACAGTCCAGGTGTTAATCCCCTTTGGGACTTCTCCACACTGTAATTCCCAGGGAAGATGGACTCATCAGAGAACCACATGTACATTTGTTAAGTATTTTTCTTATCCAAGACCCAAGTTATCAAGTTATCCAAAACCCAAGATTTACGCTGTTGGCACCAATGAAACCCACATTTGGCATTGGCATGAGTGACCAAAGGTTTGGCTTTGAATATTGATCATGAATATCAACTTTGTGAAGCTCACAACAAACGTTTTTGACAGAAACAGGAGAGTTGAGGTGCACATTTAATTCTGCAGCTGTGCTTTTATGTTTTTTGGATACAATCTGGGTTAATACCTGAACCCCTCTTTTAGACAGCTTCCTCTTGCATTGACAGTTACTTTACTTCTGACCTGGTCACAGATGAGCCACCGAGACACACACCAACAATTTGTTCTCTTTTGAACTCTGATATGCCTCCCATTATGTTGTTTGAATCCCAATACTTTATGTACAGCTGAGCTTTTGCTCTTACTGATGGAATGTAAGATTGGCCACCAGGCAGCACATATAGTGTACAGGTGTGAAACACAACACTATATTGCTCAGTGTTTCAGTTGCATTGTCCAATCCTTTATGTATGTATGTTAAAACAATAGTTATATACACTATAAAACATGAAGTAAAATGAAATACTAGACATCAGAACAAGATACTGGTGGAAACTAAATGCAAAACAATGTTCATTATGCTGTACAAAGATAAACAAAAATGTTCGTTCGACACTGTCCGTGTTTTGTTGTGCTGAAGTCTGTCTCTTTTGACAGCAACAAAAACACACCATCCGCTGTGATGAATAATTCAGCAATGAGTGGCAGTGGGACGTCTAGAGCAGAACAGAGGGGATGACTGCTGTTTTCCTGTTTAACAGGTTTTTAGTCTCGCAAACAGCTTTCTGACCAGTGCTAATTCAACCTCAGGGGGGAACCTGACCTGTACTGACTGACTACCTTGTGTAACATTGTGCAAAGCTGTATTATGACTCACAGTTTACCAATTGTATTCTCATAAGGGTCACTGCTATGAGCATGGAATACAAAACAGATCGTTACCTTCCGAATCTGGCAGGTTCAAAGAATCAACTCCTTTGCTTTTATCTGTCCCATTAGGAATGTTTTTCCTGATGAAATGAATAACAATAGAGCAAAGAAATTGAAGGTGTGAGTACTGCAACTTTTGTATTATTATTATATATTATATTAGTATATACATATTAGGGTCTAAAATGTTAGGGTATATACATATTTTAAAAAACAAAGATTTCAAATCACATTTAAACCTGGAGTTTTTATGTTTTTAATATTGAAATAAAAAACAATTGACATAAAATGAATTAGAAATATTTCTTATTCTGCAGATTTCAGATTTATTGGAAACAATAAAATAAAACAATTTTAAATAAATTTGCATTTATTATTAATTATAATATATGGCAAATACATTACATTGATTAAAACTGACAGTAAAAAACATTTATAATGTTGCAAAATATATATTTCAAATTTTATTCATTAATGAATCTTGAGGAAAAAAATATACACATATAAAGCACCACAACTGTTTTCAACATTGATAATAAGAAATGTTTCTTGAGCACCAAATTGCCATTTCTTCACATGATTTCTGAAGGATCATGAGACACTGAAGACTGGAGTAATGATGCTGAAAATTCAGCTTTGCCAACACAGGAGTAAATTACATTTTAAAATATATTCTAACAGAAAAATATCATTTTAAATTGAAATAATATTTACCAATATCACTGTGTTTTTTTGTACAGAACTTATGCAGCCTTGGTGAGCATAAGAGACTAAACTTTAACAATAGCATTAACTCCAAACATTTGACATGTATATTACATATACAAGTGGCACTAGTTGCACTATATACACTGGTGTTTCTGTTGCACTGGCCAATAATCTTAAAATAGCCAAATATCCAACAACTTCACTAAATAAATACATGAAATCCATATGATACAGATTAATTGCAATTGCAGGATTGAATAGGTACTTACAGCTGGGGGACCTGAAATATGGCGCTGTCCAAAGCATTAGTGGCCATGCCATCTTCACTGTCCAGGGTGTATCCATCCCCATCAATCATTCTGTGGTTTGATTTATCTGTAAAAATACACATGCGCATACAAACAAAGAGAGAAAGCTGAAATTAGACATGTGCCATATAAATACAGGGCTCATTATTTACATTATAACATAAACACAATTTATGCAAAAACAATGGATATGCATTTTACACATATGAACGGAAAAGAAAAGCAAAAGAACAAAAAGTAAAATAAAGAGAGGCCACGGTGAAATGAAAGGTAATGCACTCTTTTTAAAATAACTTAAACATCGGTTTAACCACAGAACAGAAATTTAGCAAATTTCATGGCTTTCTTGACTTTAGATATAAACATTATTGTGTTTCGCCTCTAAAATGGACGTGTAATGTGCTTATTAGTGCTGATTTTTATTCTTATATTCAGAGAGAGGGAGGAGTCACATGTCTCTCACCTCCTCTAGCAGAGATCCCTCCATGATGGTCATCTGACTCGATACTTTGCTCTCATTGGCTGGAAGATGTTGTATGATCAGTATGGGGCCAGTTCTGCCTTTAGATGGGGCTGTCTCTCTACAGGGACTCATCCACAGATTGCATTGTCGCCCTCACATGAAACCAGCTCATGATTTTTACACACCACAATCATGCGGACATAGATATGGGTTTGATCTGGGGTAAGGGCCTGGGATTTTACTTGCAAGGGGAAATATGGTAACAGAGGGGTTCATCATGCTCTGGATGTCAGTGTGAAGTGTCTTCTACAGTATATACTCTCAAATTTAGCATTGAGTATCTCTGACAGCAGGGAAATTTGGGAAAGAATAGCACTTTAGTTGGTAAAATTAGCGCTGTGCCTCTAGGGAATTGTTTTGTTTTTTAATTTTTTTATTTATTTATTTTTTTAAACAAATGTCTCCTCTATTAATACAGAATTGCAAAGAAAGATTGAGCCTGACATTACATTTTTTTTAAGTTTTACTGTAGCTAAAGGCAATCTTGTGGTTTGGGATTTTTGATTTACAAAAGGGAGTTTAACAGACATTGGTTGTTTTAGGTTTTTTTTTTTTTTTGTTTGTTTGTTTTTTTTAAAAATCAAGATTTTTTAGATGAGATCATTTCCATTTTGCCACTCAAATATCTAAATGTAAATGCTGGGAGATTTACTTTAGTACTTTAGGACAATAAAATGTAATATTGAATAAGATATTGTCTATTTATGAATTATTAAGTTCTCATTTTGTGATTTTAGGTGTAGGCTTTCATTTATTAACATAAAATGATGAAAACTAAACTAAACAAAAAATAAAACAAATGTGTCAGAAAGGTGAGGACGAGAGGGAATGGAAAAGAAATAGCGGAAGAGTGCGAGAATGAGAGGAAGGAAGAAAGAAAGACAGAGAACGGATAGGCTGTGAGCTCATGTGAAGTAGTAAGGGTTACTTGGCTGGAGTCGGGCCTGTTGCACCGCAGCCTCGGCTGCAGCGATGGCGTTCCCGGCTTCTTCCAGGTGTGCTTGGGTGACGCTGCCTTTACTCTGGCTGCGTGAGGGGCCGTGGGAGCGCAAGTGACCCTCAGAGGAAGATTTGGAGCTCCCGGGACTACTGTGAGACTTTTCTATTGTAGGGACTTGTGTGTCTGTGAACATAAAGTACGTGCCCTCGATTAATTCTGCACAGATCCCAAATACACCTTAAACCCTCCTTCTCCTGTTAAATATGCACAGCTGTGCAAAAGTTTGGGGTCAGCAAGGCTTCAGTCTTTTGATTTTAGTTTTGATAGAAACAGGAGAGTTGAGATATACATTTAATTCTGCAGTGAGTTGGGCAGCTGTGCTTTTTTTTGTCCAGTACCTGGACATGCCTTTAAGACAGCTTCCTAATTTTAACAGTTTTAATTCCATTTTTAAATTCGTTAATTCCATTTTAATTCCTAAGAGTCATGCTAATTTTATTCAGCAAAAAAAAAAATAAATAAAAAAAATGCATTTCTTGATTGTATTGACTTATGTCTTGTATCTCTATGCAAATCAGCATATTAGAGAATGATTTCTGAAGGATCATGTGACTCTGAAGACTGGAGCAATGGCTGCTGAAAATTCAGCTTTGTAGTCTCAGGAATAAATTACATTTTAAAATCTATTGAAATAGAAAACATTTATTTTGAATTGTGATAATATTTCACAATATGACTGTTTTTACTGTATTTTGATCAAGCAAATACAGTCTTATACTAGACTAGACTTTGAATGGCATTATATAACTAGAAATCCCTGTGTTTATTTTTGTTTAGTATGCATACCTTTAGCAGGATCAGGGAAAATGCCATGACTGCGGCTTTTGATGACGGAGGTTTTAGGGGACTGGTGGTTCTCCGGTTGCCCTCCTTGACCTCCAGAACCTCCTGACCCTCCAGGGCCTCCAAGTCCCCCAGAGCCACCGGGCCCCTGTGGAGGGTGGGTCCTTCCATGTTGAATACTCTCGCTTTGCTCCTTTAGGGGGTGCCAGCGAGGTGTGTTATCCAGCTGAGTCGTGTTTGAAAGATCAATGAGCACCTACAAAAAAAACACATATTCATAATGTTTTAGATTATATTATATTTGACTAGTCAACTATAAACTATTCCTTGGTCGATAAGAATGCAAATAGATACTGACAGAAGCTAAAATGACTTAAGAATTACACATTTCATATCAATAACTCATGGAAGAGAAGACAAAATGCTAGCATACTTTGAATCACACCTAAGGGACTGATGCAATACAAATTATTTTTTTTCTCTGCCATTTGTGTTTTTTGGTACATAGAATGACACTCATCTAGCAACACTCACTTCTCCCAGGAAATCATTTGAGGAATATCTGTCATAATCCCACACAGTAACCTCCAAAGTTTTCTTCTTCAGCTAAGCCGAACACACACACAAACACAATTTTTAGTCAGATGCTGGCTGAAGACATAATTCTAAAGGCACAAACATATTTTAACAGGAAATCCGTGACTCGATAAACAGCATAGCAATGACAGCAAAACTGGGTCAACATTCAGTGTTTTCAAGAATGGAATGCCAAGTTTGGATGGAAAAAATGGGACACATGGGAAATGTGACTGTGATGTCAAACTTCCCTTGTGTCTTAGACTAGTAATTACAAGTAATACATTCTGTGCATATTCCTTGGACTATATATAACATTACATAGAGCTAGAGAAAGAGGGATGTGGAAAAATAGAGAGATGAAAGATGAATTCTGCATGAAGAATGACTGTCTGAAAAAGTTATAAAGTATTTCAAAAAACAGAAGTGAGAAAGAATGTTATTTTTCTTACTGATAGAGGGCACTGACAAGTCTGAATTATGTCTGAAACAATAAACTGAATTAATAATAGTTAATGTCGTACTTACCTGCTCCAGAAGGATATTTTTATAAATGACGGTCTGGTTCCACTCTGGGTTCTGAGTTTTCTGGATATATTTAGTCCTTCTCTTGTTCTCAGCACTGTGAGGTCATCATGTTGAGGGAGGATACAAGGAGCAATAGACTTAGATTATGCATTTCAATTGGTATATAGTACATTTATATAGCCACACTTGAGGATAGTTGAGTTTCATCAAGAGAGGACATCACAAGAGTCAACACTGATGCATGTACGGTCCATGGCACCAGTAATGATGATGACATTATCAGATCACAGAGTAAAATGAGGAAAAATGTCAATTTCAACATGAGTATATGGGCAATCTATGCAAGCATACAGTAGCGGTAGACTCTTACAATGAGCTGATGTGAATTTAAAAAAATGGTAGAGTTGCACACCTGTACTTAATATTTACTGGCTTTGAGGGAATCATTTCAAGAATTTATTGACTTCACATCAAAAACTTGAGAGGTAGAGGTTGCTTTGAGGTAGATCTGACTGAGACACTTCACAGATGATGCAGGTTTCACCACACGAATGACAGCTAGATTATGAAAGAAAGGAAATCCAAACACACACACACACAAACACACCCACGCACCAATGAAAAAGTAAAATGAAAAGAAAAAGAATCACCACGCTACCTTGCGTTCTGGACAACCATGACTTGTCTGAACCAATCCGGAGATTTGAATGGAATGCAAAGTAAAAGTAGACAGACAAACAGACAACAGTCAGAGAATCCAAGGAAAGGGTAGACGGAAACCCCTCCAAAAAAAAAGTTGCGGCTTGGGTGGAGTCGTGGCTTCCGAGCTTTTAGCACCAGACAGAAGGATCATGTGTGCAGGTAATAGGAACTAATCTCATAAACACTGCAGATATGGCCATTAGGAGATGGCAGATATAGCATTACACTCCCCATACTGGTGGAAGCCACATCGATTGTGCTGTCTCCGCAGTCCGAGACACTGAGCTTGATTACTAGGTAGCATGTTAAGAGAGGAAGGCTAAGCTAATAAAAATTGACTTCTCCAAAGAAGATCTCTTCCACTTTAGCCTTCCAATAAGTCATTTCAGTACTAAAGTGGTAAGGACTTCTACTCAGGAAAGCCACCTTTTAGCCCACTGGATTTGCAAGCTATTATAGGTCACTTTTTTGTTTTTATCTGCCACCCAGTGTTTCATTTGATTATGAAACACTCTATACACTTTCGTTCCATTCCAATTATTATGAAATAATTTGTATACGTCATTATACTATAAAAACAAGGAGAGTTTTTGAAAGGCCGGGAGAAAAAACAACAACAGGAGCTATCCCCCCCCCAAAAGGGGAATTGAATCAAATTAAGAGACTCAAGTAATTTAAAAAATAAAAATCAGACAATAAATTAATAGAAATTACAACACTTATATATGCAGACAAAGACAAACATAAAAGAAATACAGGTACTGTAGAGTCTATAAATCGTCCCTCTTTTCCTTTAACACTTGCACGCACACAAACATACGAACACAAACACACCACACACACACAGCCACGTAGACAAGGACACTCACCCTCTCCCTGGCAAGAGATAGACCTTAACGAAAGGGTCTGTGTATCCATTGTTTTCTCTAGGAGCAAGGTTTCTTGCTTGCAGCACATGAACAATCAGGTTGCCCATATTCCTGTCATAGTTGATTTGAAGCTGAGGGAAAGATAATTATATGACACACAATACTTTAGGCAGTGCATTCAAATTCATCAAATCAGCACTGGGATGCTGCAATTTAAATTCAATAAAGCAGTCAATTGGCTTTATGCACAGCTGCACTACTTCCTGAACTTAAGCCAGCTCCTTGTTTCCTGTCTGTCATTATTGGACAAATTGATTAATCCAGGTGTGCCTGACCTCAGTAGTCACGGCAACAATAATCAGACACACCTGAATTAATCAAGTTCGGCCAATAAGGGCAGACAGGAAACAAGGAGCTGGCTTAAGTTCAGGAAGTAGTGCAGCTGTGCATAAGGTCAATACTGGAGAAGGTTGCGAGGGCTGATCACAATTTTCTATATAAAATGCATCTTAAATATAATATTTCAAAGCAACAACAAAAAAAAAATATGTACTGAAATGTAGGATAGGCATTTTCAGAGATCTTAGAATCTCTATTTTTAAAAGCATACGATCCCACCCTCCCTTCAGAGCGTCTCCAAAGCCACGCCTCCTCCAAAACACATTAACGCACATAACAGAGTCTGCTTTAAATTACCTCATGTTCCAAAGCACATAACATTACAATAATAAAGGTTAACAACTTAACTCTGACTTGTAATATCTGATAGCTGCAGACTCATGCTGGCGCTGATAGTATTATGATAGAAATCCATAATTCAGGCCATCTCATTTGTTCACATCATGTCATAGTTTACCATAGTGAGCATATGATCGCTGTTTTGGTTTAGGAGGAACTGTAAAAGGTGGCTATTTGTCTAAAAATTTGCACAGCCTTATGAAACATGCTGATGACTTGATGTCTGCACGAGCAGGGTGCTCGGAGGTATGCAAATAAATACGTTTACAGGGAGGTAGGACATTCTATCATTCCAATCCGGCTGAGACTTCCACAGAAAATTTATGTACATTTATTTATTATTTAGACCACCTCTATTATTGCGTGTTATCAGGATATGAAGAGAGATTCATCCAGTATTCAACAGTAACACTTTGTAGCAGTTTGAGGGTTTTTTTTAAATGTAAAGTGCTTTTACAAATAAAATTTATTATTATTATTATTAGTAACAGGCAAGAGCATGACTAGTATATTTGTGGTTACTCAAAAATCTGAATTTCTACATCTCATATTGAACAAATTATCTGGTCCCACTTTATATTAAGTGGCTTTAAGTACTATGTACTGTACTTAAATCGAAAAATAAGTACAACATATTATTGTGTTCCTGTTGTATTGTAAAACACTTTTGCTGCTATTGAGGTACAGTATGATACAGGTAAGGTTAGGGACAGGTGTGGTGGTATGGCTTGGTTTAAGAGTAGGTTAATGTGTGAGGGAAGGGTCAACTGTGTGATTACAAATGTAATTACATAAATTAATTATAGCTGTAATTACATGCTGGTATTTTTCAAATATATAAGTACAAGTACATACATCAAATATATAAGTAATAATGTACTTATATTTTTCAAAAATATAAGTACATTATTAATTTCAATGTAAGTACATAATACTTAAAGCCACTTAATATAAAGTGGGACTATTGTAATTATTGTTTGTACACAATTACAATGTTTGTAGACCATTGTAATAGCTGCTAATTAGTTGACTGCCATATTCAAATATCTGGAAATGGGAATAATTACTGGCTTAGATGATGTGAACACAGTCAAAACATAACCATATCATTCAAATTAACTTTGGAATAGTCTTGTACAGTACATGCAAAAAGGTCAGACCTATTGAAATTGCACAGACTCACTTGTATTTCACCAGTGATTGGATGCGGTTGTGGCTTCAGAACCTCTGCTGACTGAAAAAACAAAATAATGGAAAATAAATCATAAAATTATTTATAATTGTATAATTTATAATTATAATTAAGTATAAATAAATTATCATAAAAAAAATTATTTCACAGTTACCTATGCAGACACAACATTTGATATATTCATCATATACGGTAAGAGGCACATGTAGATGCACCTTCCTGCACACATTTCCAAATACAGTACCTTGCTACCATGGCGCTTCTTGTTGACGGAAGGGGATCCGGGTTGTCCAGGGCTAGGGACTCCACTGGAAGCGGCAGATCCGGTGCCAGAGTGCAAGTGTCCCGCTCTCTCCAGAGCAGAGAGCACTGAGACAGGAGCCTGCTGCTGGGACACCTTCTGCAACTCTGCAGCCAGCTGCTTTGGGTCTACACCTGGAGAGCGCTGACGCTCACCTACAAAACACACACACACACAAACACTTTTCAATGTACTAATTGATACAAACACCTTTTCCACGGTCAGGAGTGCAAGAAGTCTCATAACTGACGTCTTGGGAGGTCTTTTGACCATACGTCAACTTCCGCCTTTTTGCTTCCGACTTCCCCTTAAATGTCGGTTAGATGACGTTATCGGATCCTAACCCTACCCCAGACCTAAACCTACCCCGTCACCTAACCAACGTTAAAGGTAAAGCGTCAGCTGTATGACGGCCCGGGATCGTCATGTAACCGACGTTTAAGGGTACCCTAAAAAGGCGGATGTTGACGTATGGTCAAAAGACGTCCCAAGACGTCAGTTATATGACTTCTTGGGATGAGACTGTGTTAAACCCAGGGTTAAAATAAGTGCTAAAGAAAGTTGCAGGAAAGGAAGTCACAACTTCCAGGCCTTGTTTTTTGTCTTGCATGGCACGCATGCATATTAGCTAGAACTGGATCTGAAAATGTCTCATTTAGCCTGCTTAAGAGGCAAAATTTTGAAATCACTAAAATATGTTATTGAAAATTAAACTTAGCCATGGTTTTTGTTTTCAATTTAGTCTTTCCCCATTCAAGTACTTTGGAGCATATGCATGGCAAAGATGGTTGCAGAGTGGACTCATTTGCCTTAAAAGAAGCTTGGTTAGTATGAGAAGCTTATTAAAGGCATCAAGAGGAGTAAGTGTAAGGGGTAGAATGAAATGTTAGAGACACTCACCAGCTCTCTGCTGATTATGGAGATCCAATTGTTGTGGGTGATCTGTGTTCGAGAGCATGTTTAGGTCCCTAAAAAGAAGTCAATTTAACAACTGTATTAGCATATTGGCTTAAAGACCACAGTCACTGCATTGAAAATATTTGATAGTTAAATCAGCATAACATCAATTGAAGAGTTCAGATGCAAAAGCCTCTAAGTGCCATTTGAAATTTTCTTCTAGAATGATCATTTTTATCAAGCTTGTATATTTAAGTTCAGTGATTTCACTTAAATGGCAATGATAATTACCTATTAATTGTTATTTAAGTGAAATTACTGAACTTAAATATACAAGTTTGATAAAAATCATCATTAAAGAAGAAAATTTCAAATGGCACTTAGAGGCTTTTTCATCTGAACTCTTCAATTATTAATATGGCACAACCTGAAACTGAAAAAAATGTCTTACATAAATAATTGTGTGAAACTATATGCCCTTACAAAAAAAAGCACTGCGCTACCATGCTGCCCTACAAAGCAAAAAGGCAGTAACTGCATTTTTGGTCAAACATTTGTTATTATCATTTTCATGACATTCAAGGCATACTTTGTTATGTGACAAAACATCTCAAATGTGTGTCATTTTGGAGGAAAATGGTAGTCGTTTGTACAGTGACTGCAAAAATCCTGAGTTATAGTAATTTTTATCAGTTCTTCACTCTGCGTAGTTACTGCCTTTTTGCTTTGTAGGGCAGCATGGTACAGTGAGGGTCTCAGGTGGTAACCACATATTGGCCTATTTTAATATTGATAATTCCTGAGCAAATCAAGCATTCTAAGCATTTTAGAAGGATTTCTGAAGGATCATGTGACACTGAAGAGAGGAGTAATGATGGTGTAAATTCAGCTTTGCCAACACAGGAATAGATTACTTTTGTAAAATCTATTAAAACTGATTTTTTTTTTATTTTAAATTGTAATAATATTTCACAATATTACTTATTTTAGCTGTATATTTGATGAAATACATGTAATCGAATTTAGCTTGGACTAAAGATTTGACATTTGAGTGCCATTTGTCTAATGGTTTAGTATGTATTGCAAGAGCATTGAGTGTGAATTGGAGGTGCTGTCATGCTCGTTGCATGGTATTTTGTAATTGATAAATATTCAGATTGTGATTATCGATGATTGTATTGTCGAATAATTTGTCTTGTGTTTTAGTTTATTCTGTTGCTGCTGTAATACCTTAAAGGTATAGTTCATCCAAAAATGAAAATTTTCTCATTTACTTACCCTCAAGTTGTTCCAAACCTGTATGAGTTTCTTTCTTCTGTTGAACACAAGATAATATATTTGTACGAACTTTGGAAAACCAGACAGTTGATGGTAGCCACTGACTTCCATTGTAGAAAAATTTCATCTTGTGTTCAACAAAAGAAGAAACTCATACAGGTTTTGAACAACTTGAGGGTAAGTAAATTATGACATAATTTTCATTTTGGGGTAAACTATCCCTTTAATTTCTCCTTGGGGATCAATAAAGGAAGTCTAAGTCTAATTTATTTGAATTAATTAATACACTTGGCATTTACATGATACTTTTTTGTTCGTGTGGGGGACTAGACTGAGCCTTAAACGTTGAATACACCATTGTAACTTACAGGCGCACACATATTTCTGCCTCTCCATACTGTTGACCCATAATGCTTTGCACCTCTTCATATGTCTTTCCCAGCAGAGAGATTCCATTCCACTCCATAACCTGCATTCCTGAGGAACACAACACATGCCATTAGGAACAGTGAGTGAAATACATTTATTATGGTAGAATAGTAAAAACAGATACTCACAGTCTGTCTTGACCAAAAGTAAACATTATTTGTCAGAAGATTGTTATGGAAAGTATTAAAGGTACAATATGCAGGATTTTTGCTGTGAAATATCCAAAAACCACTAGGCCAATTTTGTTAAGTTGATTACTTACAATATGCCAAATGTTTCCAACTAAATCGTGAGAAAATTGCGATTTTTAACCATGGAAATGGGGCGTGTGAGCAGGGGTGAGGAGTCGCCAGTCAATGACATCATGTCCACGTTACCCCTGGTTTCCGCCAGGTTTGACCTCGTACTGCAATAGTAACCATGGCGACAGACGTGGACAACTGGGTCGGTTATGCGTGCTCAACAGCGTAGGCATCTCTAGCAGGGTTTTGTTCAAACATTATGGACCATGGCAAGCAGACTTTGAGACAAAACGAGGACTAAAACGAAGATCAACATTTTTACAGATGCCGAGAGCTCCACATCCACAACTAACTTCGACTTGACAGAGATGCGAGTGTTGCATGTTACTTGAGCAAACAAACAGGTGAGCAAATCAATGTATATAAAACAAATCAATGTTATGTAGTTCAACATGATGAAAAGTTAGAATATGATCTGTATGTTATTCTAATGTTGATCTAACTTAGTCTCATAGAGCCAACAAACAACCTCTCTAACAACATTCAACACACAAATGCTGTTTAGTGTGAGAGTGAAACTGTTAGAGAAGTAGCGATGCTATACCTCAAGTTTAATTCCTCTAATAAACTGACCTGTGTGAGTAATTCAGCGTGTAGTTCGGTGGAATTAAATGTCCATATTTCTTTATATCCGCGGGAATCGCGTTGTGTGTGGCGCTGGTATACGTCTAGCAATCGCGTCCTGCTTCATACCACAATCATGTTATAACATCAATGTATTCACTCATCCATAAAAGATCCATCAGCTTGACAACAAGATCCATAATTCCGCTTAATGCGGAATATACGTCATGAATATACACCTTTGTTATTGTAAGAGGTTAGCGACCCCTGGTGGTGAAACAATATTGCATATTGTACCTTTAAGAAGAGATGTTGTTTATGAAAGTCACCTACAGTATGTACATTTTTAAAAGCCTTATATTAAGAGCCAAGGTTGAGTTTAGTGCATCACTAAAAAGTTAAGGCGCTATAAATTGGGGAAATATGTCAAAAACTATTACGATATATTCACACACAGATAGACAGGAAAGCTGTGCTATTGTGATTCCTGAGGGGAAATTCAGGAAAAGCATTCACTGATTTACCTACAAACATAAAAAAAAAAACATGCACACTTCTTTAATAGCATGCTTCCCAGAGCACTCCACTCACTATATTAAAACAGTCCTGCAGCATCAGAGACAGAAACAAGTGCAGAGGGGAGAGGAAATTTTAAAGAATCACTGCAAACTGAAGCCCACTTCAAGCCAAACCCCAGGCACTTACACAAATGAAAGCGGGTCTTCAGATAGGTCTTTTGCATACGGAGTGCTTCAGCGGCTGATAACAACAGGACATCATTAAAATGTCTGTCCATCTCAACACAATCAATCCCTTCACTCAAATCTCTCAAATGTTCAGAAACTATGTCACTCTGCAAGATTGCCATTATAAAGGCCAAAATCATCACTTCAGCTTTGAAGTGTAGAAATGATTAATGCTTGATTTGGAATCAAATTCGGTTCAGTTGAGGAAAATATTGTGAGCTATAAAAGTGAGTATTCAAAATCATATCTAAAAAGGCTTTAATGTTACAAAATACGAAATATTTTTCATCATATCTCAGCATATAGGAATTTATGGTTGAAAGTTAATCCTTAAAATTGTTAACAGATGAATCCTTATTTAGCCCATGCAGTGCGTTACTGATATACGATCCCTGCTGTGTGCAAAACAACCACACATACTTTATGGTTCTATGTCTAAGTGCATATGCATTGTGCAATTGTGCGTGCATTCAATTCTAGACCCAAACAATAATATTGCTACAGCTATCAGCTATTAAATCTGCTCTCTAGCACTTTTTCCACTGCGGCAGCAGATATTATTATATTGTACCAAGGGAAAAGCATACTTAAGATAGAGAACAGATGCTTGTGTAATCTACCAGCAGATTGGTGCTTGCATATTTCAGGCATAAAATATAAAAGTTTTGACACTTTAAAGGAAAAATACATTTTCTAAAATCACAAGTTATGAAAGATTACAAATCAAACAAGCAAAAACATGTTCAGGAAGCTGAGCTACTCTCAGAGGAGCTCATCCAAATTGACAAAGCATGCTGAGCAAGCAGAGTCAACAAGGAGAGCAATCATACTGCAACAACAGCGTCCCCGTTAAAATGAGAAATGGCTTCCCAAATTAGGCACTTGCTTTGGAACACTACTGAATGCTTAAAATAAACGAATGAATGTGCTGACGCATGCTTATTTTAAACACCGTTTAACATAATAAAAGAAGCATATATGTAAAATCTTTCAATTCATATAACCCCTGAATCGGATAGAAGTTCTTACCTTCAACAACTTTTCCTGTCTGCTCGGCCCATCCTCCGGGTGAAACCTTGGCGATGTAGGCTCCGATCTCTCCGTTGGTCCCTGGAATCTCTTTTCCGCCCACAACTCTGATTCCCAGCCCTCTCCCTGAAATCACAAGGGTTCAGATAAATGGCTTAGTAATTGGATCCTAATCAGAGCATCTCAATATCATTCTAAATGTGATCTCTTCACCAATTCATCATCTACGAGGCAGACAATTGTTGTTTTGTTCTTCCTTCCACTAATTTAGTTTACAGGCCTAATTAACTCATTTTAGCTGTGTATCTTTGTGAGTAATTGCTGCAAAAACATACCTGAGATGCTGTGGTCCTTTGGGTCCCGTTGCAGTTTGATGTGAGTGTGTGGGAAAGGGTAATAGCTGCCTTTTATCTGCTACAACGAAAATACAATACAGAAGCAAGTTATTAAACAACAACAGAGCTTTTGCAATAACTATATGCCTGCAGATGTGGGTTGTGTTCTTTTAAAGATGAGTACAGTGTGTCCATGTGTTTGCATGGTAACTGCGGTTGAAGTAGGACATGTTCCTGGAATAAAATTCCTAAGAACCAATCAGATTGTAGGGTCAGCTTTACTGTGAGTGTTGCAGCTTAACCCTCTGGTGTTCTTAGGTCATTTTTGACAAAACATTTTAACGTTTTGAATTTTAGGAATTGTTTACTTCATCGTAATGGTATGAAACTTGGTAAATGTTGTCACTTGCTATGTGAACACACACAAACTATCTGCCAACGCATTCTCACCCCAAGGCGTCACCTTTGATCATGCTTTAATATTTGACGCTTTAGGCGCCCTTTAGCGTCAGTTACATGACGCGATCCTATGGTGTCATCTAACTGACGCTAAAGGAAAGCGTCAATTAGATGACGCGGTTAGGTTTAGGTCTGGGGTTGGGGTATAGGGTTACACGCGATCCTAGGTCGTCGTCTAACTGACGCTAAAGGGCGCCTAAAGTGTCAAATATTGAAGTATGGTCAAAATGCTTCCCAAGGCGTCAGTTAGGTCAATGGGCTGAAATATCATGGACATGATTCGAAAAGGTTAAATGGTCCTGAAAAAATAGTCACGTTTGTGCTCCCCATGGTCAAAAATGAAAATTTGGAAAACTTTTGGTACTGCAGTCAAACAAAATCTTACTGAAAGCTCTTTTTTTTTTAAATCAAGTTCAAATTTGGAACACAACTTGTTTAGATGTATGGCTTTGATTATATAAATTTATATAAATAATATAACCAAAATTCTGTAACTTTTTCAAGTTCACTTTTTTAAACTTCTGAAATCTCACTTCAGCAATAATCTGCCAAGTGTCGTCTTTGAAAAGAGATCAGAATTAAGTCTGTTCTTTAAAGCACTTAAAATGTATGACAGTTTAAGTTGGAAATTTAATTTTCACGTCTATACAGCCCGTTCTCATCCCAAGACGTCATCTAACTGACGCGTTTGACTATATGTCAACATTCGATGTTTTAGGGCACCCTTTAACATCAGTTAGATAACGCTATCTAATCCTAACCCTATACCCCAGACCAAAACCTACCCGCGTTATCTAACTGACGCTAAAGGTAAAGCGTCAGTTAGATGATGCCCAAGGATAGTGTCATCTAACTGATTTTAAAGGGTGCCCTAAAACGTTGGATGTTGAAGTATGGTCAAAAGCGTCAGTTAGATGACGTCTTGGGATGAGAATGTGTTGTTCTATACTTAAATAAGTGAATTTATGGATTATAAATACAGCGCAAAAATGATTTAGTATACCATGTAATCACCTAAAAATACAAAATAGCAAATTAAAAAAACATTATCTAATAAAATATAGTATATTCATTTAATTGAGATAAAATTAAAACTTTTGACCAACATGAGACGAGCACCAGACAGGATTTTTATCCTCTGATAGGTATGTTGCTCCACGACCATCAAAAGCCCCCAGGAACACATCCTACTTGGCAAAATCACGGACATTCATGGGTGCCACTCTACCTGTCTTCTGTCTGGCCCGGCTTCTGTTCCACCACGTCCCTGGCAGGGTTTGTCAAACCAGTCAGTCTCTTCATGCTGAAGGTGATATGCTAGAAGACAGGAAGAAAGCAACCACTGTACCATCACAAGTGACAAAACTGGGGCATGTTTCCCACTCCACCACTTTTCTCCCAGACAACCATCCCTTCACAACCCCCAGTTGGGGACACTTCTTTGCTAGAGTGTTTGAACTAACAGCTTGATGGATTTAGGGCTTCTAAGAACAACATGTATGTTTCAAAAATGTTGGACATCATCTTCCATTCCACAAGATCTCAAATCAAGAGTGTTTATTTAGATAAATGCTAAATGTACTAGCCTGTCCCCAGGGAAAGCAGTGTCGGAGGATGGTGAGGGCAGGAAAAGCAATGATCTGGGACATGTTTCGGGGCATGCACACATGAACATGCATGCTGTGTCCCTTTAGGACTGGTCTACATGTCATGCGTCGAGAATTTGATAGAGAACTGTTGTGGGTCTGAACCACAGCAGATATACGCACATACACACACACCATCATACAACAGTGTGATGATGAGATGCCTTACCAAATGTCTGATGATAAATACAATTCCTGTAAGTACTATCTCTAGAACACTAGTTAAGAGTACAAGTAAACCATTACTCAAACCAAACAAAACCACAGATTGTGTAACCTAAAACCAGACTTAGTTCAAACTGTAATCAGCATTCTCAAAAAACATTTTCTTATTCAGTGTTGTCTTGTTCTTATCTTGTTTTTCAGAAAAAAATATAAAACATTCCAACCCGATCTCACGACCAAATCGTACGAAATCGACGCATGATTAAAAAGTGTCTAATTCGTACGACCTCACTCGTACGAATTAGTACGATTTTGCTAAATCGTACATATTTTACGAATGGGCTCTATGCACGGCGGTATTTCCGGTGAAGCATTAGGGATGCTCGTTAACTTCCGCCGATCGTAGAGTCCAATGCAATTACGAGTATTTATATTGAATTTTATACTCCATGGTTATACTAAAGAAACGTTAGTCACAAAAACAGATAAAACAGACACCCCTTGTTGTGTTTATGCTTCTTTTTAAAATTATATGAAATAAAATTACATCTAAACGTATGTACGTTTCATTTCAAAGACTGGAGGACAGTAAATTTTGAAGACTCCCGTATTTGCCATAATCCCTTTTTCCTCGGTTTTCCTCCGCTTTAATCTCCACAACCGGAAATGGACAAGCATCCTTGAGTCAAATGCGGAATTTATGTGTGCATATAGCCCATTGGCCAATTCGTGTGAATTCGTACGAAGACCTACCCCTTACCCCGCCCCTAAACATAACCATCACGTGGGTTTATACAAATCGTACAAATTCGTACGAGTGAGGTCGTACAAATTAGTACGAATTAGACACTTTTTAATCATGCGTCGAATTCGTACGAATTGGTCATGAGATAGCGTAGCAAGTAGCAACCCGATCTCACGACCAAATCGTACGAAATCGACGCATGATCGTGAGATAGCGTAGAACATTCTTAAGAATATTAAGAATGTTTAATGTAAGAAAGTTTATTATTATTGAGAAAAAAAGATACAAATACTGAATAAGACAAGGATTTTTGCAGTGTACTTTGTCTCACCTATAGATTTGCACTGGTAATATCCTATAAGACTGTATAGTCTACTGCTTTTTTTCAGCTTCCATTTCAGGTCTAGCACTTTATTCAAAGACACTGGGAATTCCTAGAATAATTCATAACTCAAGCTAGGGCAGACATGTCAGCACATACCTAAAATAGATCAGACGAGCAATATCTTCTGTTTTGTTTACTGGGTATTTTGCACAACCTGCAGGTGCTTTTATTACAACACTGTGTAAGTGAATCATTTTTTTATTCATGAGGCAGCACTATACTAAGCCACAAATCATCATTTAACTCCTAATAGAGTGAGAAGAAAAAGGACAACCGGATCTGTCTGCAAGAGTTTTGCAATGAAATCAATGCTTGATGTGCTGTCCTTCTGCAAGGAAATGTCACCTTAAATCAACAGTGCATTCACTTAGAGGAACCATTGACCACGGCACAAACCAATGGCCTATAGAAAACTGTCATTCTGGCCAACACACTATCAAAAGGACACATCAATCTAATAACTTTTATCCTGCACCATCAAAACAGCAATTCTTTACATTAGTGACATTTCAGTGGGGCAAGAGTGACATTTCCTAATTAGCCTACCCTGTTCTAGGATACCTCTGTTATGGTATGCACACATGTGTATGTAGACATGTATGTGCCCTGGTTGATATGATCAGGCTATGTAAGAGAGAACTTGAGGAAGTGCAGTGATAATGAAGACCAGGATGGGTCTGAGGTGCACCACTAAGAAATGCCCATCATTCAAGACTACAGTATGGCACGCATGAAAGTAGGTTTATGCTTAATGATATTTTGAAGGTTGCTGAACAGCAGTTCTCACCTTTCACATTCCAGCTAGGACCTCCAGCTGTAGTGCAAACATTGTATTTCAGAGAATTCATAGTAAAATTAGCCTTAAAACAGATATGTCGTGCCAATAAAAACACACTGTTATGCAGTGCAGGTGGATAACTTGTACTGTTACATGCAATAATCTAATTTTCTAAAATATCTAAATAACACACCATTGTATATGGTGTGTTATTTAGATATTATCTAATTATTATCTAATTAAAATATAGATGTTATACATCTATATTTTACTCTTGAGAGTATTTTACTCTTTTAGAAGATATTTTAGTAAATAACAATACCCATACAGCATGTATTAATCTGAGTTAATGTTAATTTCAACATTAAAAATTCTAATTAAAAGTTGTATTTGTTTACATTAGTTAATGTACTTTAAACTAACATGAACAAACAATGCAAATCTGGAATTTTGATAACTAACATTAACAACACTTAAGAAATACTGTAACAACTGTATTACTCCTTGTTAGTTCAAACATTAACTAATGTTAACAAATTGCCTTATTGTAAAGTGTTACCAACGTATTTGTTTAGTAACACTTAATGGGATGATCTAGGTTCAAAACTAACTAAGCTCTATTGACAGCATCTACGGTATATTTGCAATTACCACACAAATTACATTTTAAAGCAAAATGGGTGGCTTAAAAAGCAGTTCTTTATGATTTCTGCTTGTTACAAATTGAGACTACCGATTTTTTTTAACCTGGAACGTTCCTTTGACTGTGAACATAAGCAAGCTAAATAGGCTGTTTCAGAAACACAAACCATTTCTGATACACTAATAACAGAGCATGGGGTCACATCTGTGCAAACCCAGCAGAGCATTATGTGTTGTAATCCAAAATATATTCACAATTTGCACTCAGTTTATACCAGCTTTACACCTGGCTTATGTAAAACCTTCCAAACAGCTTGACGTTCAACACAATATCCCAATCATGAAGGGATTTTAAAATGTTTTTCAATCTGTTGTCTCTTATTGACATTGAGACCCCCGTGACAGCTTAAAGATTAAAAATGTGTTTTACAGGGGGGGGGAAATTAATGAAACATTATATTCATTAAAGGGATACTCCACTTTTTTGGAAAGAGGCTCATTTTACCACTCCCCCAAAGTTAAACAGTTGGGTTTTACCGTTTTTGAATGTATTCAGTCGATTTTTTCATATTTAGAAGAATATCAGTTACCAGACAGTTTCTGGTCTCATTGACTTCCATTGTATATATATTTTTTTCCTACTATTGAAGTCAATGAGACCAGAAACTGTCTGGTTACTGATATTCTTCTAAATATCAGAAAATCGTCTGAATGGATTTGAAAACGGTAAAACTCAACTGCTTAACTCTGGGGGAGTGGTAAAATGAGCCTATTTCTAAAAAAAAAAGAAGAAAAAAAAGAAGTGGAGTATCCCTTTAATCAACCCATTTGTGTAAATTGTCTACAAGACAGATCCTTGCTCTTCAATCCTTGCTTAATGTTCACTTCAGTATAAAGAACAAAATGAACAAAAAAACACAGAAAGAGAATGAACAGTATATTTACTGAAAATATATTAATCTTTATGTAACATGCAAGATGTTTTTAAATTCTCATTTATAAGCCATGCAAAAAAACTGTAATAGCAAGAATTTATTGAGAATGAAAATTGGAAACACACCCATGACAGACATTACATGAGATAAATAAGAAAACTGCAAAACAGGTGGGTTAAAAGTAGAATATGTGGAGGTGATGAAAAACTAGGCTCTAATTAATGCATGTTATAAACAGATAAACTTCCTTTAACCCTCATTTAATTTAACTTTATCTCATCACGTGTCAGAAGCACAAATGTGTCAATATTAGTGTCCACAAGGGTAGAAAAGGGAATGATATACATTCACTACATTAATTTTGCCACTTGCATTTCTGCAACCTAACATTATATGTATAAATATTCTGGATTAATGAAAACCAGATAAACTAAACCAATATAACATTTGAGAATGTCTTAAAAAGAACATAAACATTTAATTATGATTAAAATAAATTGTTCACTATCCCAAAGCTGACGGAAAGATATAGAGGGATACTTTATATTTAGGAGTTGTTTCCCCTAATACGAAAAATGATCAAGATTATCAAAATTATATCTATATAATTAAAAACAGACAAAAATAGTGCCCTCTTAAGATAACCAGTCACAAAATGATTCTGAAAAAAATATAGGATGCTGTAACTTCATAGATCGAAAGCTTGAGGACTGTGATAAATAACAGAGGCACTGAATAGGCACCATATAATGAATTAAAATAGCTGAATTAATAAGATCTCCAAAAATGTTTCACCTCTTATATGTATATGACAAAACAAAAGTGGGAAAGGAAACATGTTCCTTTATGCATGCAAATAGAATACATACAAATCGATACTATGTACACATACAGTATGAAGGTGAAGATTTTAATGTAAGAGTATGACATGCAAATGCAACACCCTGCAAATTGTCAAGAAAATCTAAAAAAAAAAAAGTTGAAAAACGTAAAGGAAAATGTAACAGTTGAATTTACACACAGATATAAATAATTCATTCAGAGCCATACAAAAGATGCATATCAACAGAAGCTGGGATTAAAGATAACATATCTCATAACAAATTTACCTTCACTATCTGACATGGCCCCCTGAAGGTCATCCTTTATAAAGGCAATGTCTCGTTCATAGCCACTTGTCCTGGACTCCTCTCTCATGTGCTGTTGGACTTCTGGAAGAGAATGACTGGAGCCAAACTGGTCCCTTGAGTCTGCCGAGATGGGTGGAAGTGGGCCTGCAGATGCTCTGGCCATGCCCATGGGCTGACCGACAGGACTCAATGGACTCTCTTCTTCCGAGTTTTGTGCAACAATGGGAATCCGACCCCTGCTCTGACTAATTGGCAGACTTGTTGGTTTAGCCCTAGATACAAACTGTGAATCCATGCACTCGCCCTCTGTTTTCAGGCGTAGAGAGGAGTTTGATAAGTCTCTTTTGATAGATAGGTCCAGTCCATATACAGAGGAAGGCCTAGAGGAAGGTCTTGAACGAGTGCCACTGGGATAAGTGCCATCATCATGGAGGGAAGACCTTATGCTAGGTCCTAGGTTGAGCGATTGACCAAAGTTGAGGGACTGAGCCAGGTTAGGATTAAGAGCTGAACCCAAATATTTCTGTTGCTCCACTAGGTTCTTCCTAAGACCAAATGTGATCTCATCCTGTAGCAGCCTTGCTCTGGCAGACAGTCCACCAACTGATGAGCTGGCTGAGGCCAAATAGCTGCTGTAGTCGAGTTCAAGGTCCCTGCTCTCTTGAATGGGTGAAAACTTAATTTTAGGGTCAATTAGAGCTTTTTTATTCTTTAACTGTTTTTGGTAAAGAACGGAGGCAGGCAGTTGCTTGGCAGCCTGCTTTTCCAAAGTTAGTCTCCCAATGCTGTATTTTTCAGCTTTAGGGAAATGTCTAAAACTGGTGTCAGAGTGCAGGTAGTGAGGCAGACCGGCAAGCTGTTCAAGGCTATCTGTACCTCTTCTGAACTCCTGCTTAATTTGCTGTTTCAACATCTTTAATTCATATGGCTCCTCCATGGACTCCTCGTCAGCTTTACCATACGAATGCAGTCGGGAAGAAGCCTGAAGGGGAGCAAGAAAGTCTGCCACATCTGCATTTCGACGGACATCTGCAGTCCGGAGAAGTCTGTCCGCTTTGCTGATATCCTTGTCTGCGATACTGAAGCTTGAACTCAGGCCCGCTGAGCTCTTTGTGAGTTCACCGATGTCATCAATCAGGACATAGTTCCTGGCATTGTGATGATCGAGGTCTGCGTAGAAGGACTCTGCTGATATGCTGGACATGGGGCTGCTGGCCATGCTGGCTCTCTCTTCCAGGCCCATCCTCAGATCAAGGCTACTGTATTTACCACCGAGGTGGGAAACTCCATAGACACTCTCTGTGGATGTAGGGACAATTAGGAGGGGCTGGTTGCGTACAACCTCATAGTTTGTCGTTATCTTTGGCTCTAAGTCAGACAAAGTAGTCTGACGGGGTTTCTGTTGCATCAGAAGGAGTGAGGAATGGTCATAGCCAGTCTGCTGGGACTGCTGATTGAGAGAGGGGACTGATGAGTAGATGGATTGGTAGGGGGATACCTGCTGATGGTAAAGAGACTGCTGCTGGTACAACGTCTGCTGAGGATACTGACTTGTTTGGGATGCATATTGATAATGGGAGTATGGGCTTGTAAGCTGTGCATACTGGGACTCAGCCTCAGTCTGTGGTGGGATGAACTGGTTAAACTCTGACTGTGGGGCAGTCCGTGGCCGTTCTAGTCCATGACCATTACCTCGTGCCTCTCTGATGTTGCTGACCTCACTATCTGACATGTAGTCTCGCTCTTCTGCCACTCCTTGTAAGTAGGCTCTCTCCCTCTTCTCTCTCTCTTTCAGTAAAGCCTCTTTCCTTCGATTTATACCCATCTCCAGATATCTCAATTTAGCATCTATCTCTTTCTCCTCCTCATCAAGTTCTGCCTGTATCTTACGAAGTTTTGAGGACTCACGTTCAACTAAATCCAGCTCCTTGTCTATGTCTTGAAGGATTTTGGCCCGTGCCATAGTGGTGTTCCTGCACATTCGCCTTCTGGCAGAAGCTGTGGTGTACTCCGATAGCCCAATGATGGTATCTTCTTCCGGTGGTGGATGAGGTAGTGTGCGTTTTACTTTCTTCTGAGTGCCAACTGGTGTGCCACTCTGTGAACCTTTGCTCTGTAGATTAAAAAAAAAACGAAAGAGAAAGAGAAAGAAAAACAAGCAAATGATAGGCAAGATATCCCAGATAGCAAGGTGACATTGATACATTGACGATAAATCGTGAGCTTTGGAATAATGTTACATCGTATGTGATCTACTTGTACAGTATGAGTTGGTAACCTTGCTGAAATCGCACGGAAATCACACAGTATACCCGCCTTAGTGACCTTGATTAGCTGGTTGAGGCGTGTTTAATTTTGGCTGGAGATTGGACACCCCTGCCATAGTGCTTTTATTTGATATTTAAGCATTAATAGATTTTAGAAAAAAAAAAAAAATGAAGAAATAAACAGAATCTCTCAACAAAAGAGATTTAAAATCAATATCACATTAGGTATCAAACAATACTACAAATTATTATTTTCGGTAATTTAAATGTTAATTTAACAGCATTGATGTAGAATCAACATCACAGTGTAACGTTGATTCACTGACATCACTGTTGATCATTTTTGTTAAATTTCAATATTGATTCAACATCGGTGACATGGAATCAATTACAGTGTAACATTTATTCAACAATATTACCATTAATTGTTTATGTTAATTTTAATAATGATCTGGGATGTAGAATCAATCATAGTGTAACATTGATTCAGTGGAATTAGCATTGATGTTTGTGTTGAAATGTCACAATTTTTCAACATTAATTGCGGGTGCAAAAGTGATATTAAACATCACTTTGTAACGTTAATTCAATGCAATTAGTGTTGACGCATCAACATTGACTCAAGATTGTTTCAATGATTGCTTGCTATCTGGGTATACAGTATACAGCATGGCAACTTGGCAACTATGTAATGCAATGATTAGGAGAGGACAGAATAAAACAAATACTCTATATGAAGAGTGAATCAGTTTTAAAGTGCAGTACTTACTGAATAGGTGTCTGAGTACTGGTACATCATTCTGTCCTCGGTTGTCGGAATGAGTGACTTGGGGTCAGACAGAGATCGTTGTGAGGCCCTTAGTGATCTTGGACTACTGAGAAGCCTTGATGAATCAGCAGTAAGCATCTTCTGTGAACTTTTCCCAGGGGACACTGGTGAAAGTGGGGAGGATAATACCTTTGGAGATTTGGTAACTGACAAGCTTCCAACACCATCAGCTGTCAGGTGTGTGCTAACACTTATCACAGCAGGCGTTTGACATATTTTATCCCTGTCTGATGTAATATCTGAATCGCTTTCGGTTTGACCGTCTCTGTGTAAATCTACCTGTGTGTCCACCTGAGCCCGAACAGGGGATCTCCTAATTGTCCCTGAATGCTCTGTCTGTACCGAAATCTCTGCTACAGTCTGAATTGCAATACTTGAAACCTTGGAGCTTTTACCCTTCTCTCCATCAACATATCTGCTGGAACGAGACCTGCGTCTGCTCCTAATGGGGACGTCCCATTCATCCTGATCTTCATCATCAGTTTGCACACAGCTATCTACGCTTCTCCTACTTCTTCTCCTTCTACCAGAAGGAATCTTCTCAACACAATCTTCATCATCCGTTTGGACACCACTCTCAACCAATTTCTTACCACTTAACTCTACACTTTGCTCTTGTCTGGTTGTTTCTGGCAGGTTTGTGGACAACTGCAACTTCTCCTTTGTCTGTGCACTCACTGATACAGGAGTGTTTGAACTATACTGTGTAAAAGCCCCAGAAGTTGTTAGCCAGTTTTGACCTGATCTAGAGTCATGGGTGGACACTGCCGATGACATTGAGTTGTCATCCTTCACTGGCCAGTACTGCCCATTATCTCCCCCAGAATATTTCGAGTCAAGAATAATGTCTGAGCTCATGGGTGGTGAAATACCCTCACTTGGCCTAAACCCATATGGGTGTATCTTTTGCTCTTCTAGTTGTTGCTGGAGTTGCTGCTGTAATCGATGGATTTGCTCTAACTGAAGTTGCTGCTGTGCAAAGGTTTCTTGTTGAAGAATCAGATGGGCCTTGCGTTCCTCTTCTTTCTGCATTAGAAGTTGCTGTTTCATGTTCTGAAGCTCCTCCAGCTCCTTCTGAACAATGATCTGCTCTTGTTCACGGTAACGCTGTATCTCGTGCCTCTCCCATTCAAGCTCTTCAGCTAGACACAGTTGCTTCAACTTTTCTAATTGTAAAAACTCATGTTCAGCCTTGTACTGTTGGCTTTTGCTGTCATCTAAATCAAGGAAATTTGGTGATACCAGTGTATCCAGGGAGGCTGCTATTGCCTCAAGTGTAGCATCTGAGTAGAGCTCAGGCAAGGCAGTCAATGAGGGAAGGAGACTGGCCAATGCAGAAGGTAGGATATCATTTGCTATGTCAGATTGTGGGAATATTGATTGATCTGTGCCTGTGGTGTTCACAAATCCATATGGAGCAGGCTGATTTTGAAGTGCTGAAAATGGCTCCGTAGTACCAGTCAGACTATTGTACATTGTGCTAAATATAGAACCTGGTTGGGTAGTAATTGCATACGTGGAGGGAACAGGTGCAGCAACAGATGAGTAAACAATGCCATTTGTCGATCTTAGCAAACTATTAATGCCAAACAATGTTCCTTGAGAATATGGAGTAGTGGTGATCCCGGTAAATTCCAAAGTGCCTTTCTTTGAGAAGTCTAAGGCCTCTTCTGTTATGTCAAGAAAACAAAAATAGCAGCAGCATCAGCATCTAAATGGATAATTTCTCAGTCTCATGCAGCATTAATTAACTATAAAATGGAAGCCAAAGAGCATGCACATTTCTTGTCAGTGTCATCAGATTAGCAGGATGCAAAGCCAAAACACTGAGGGACAACACGAAGGCAAACGCATGCATCTGTTTAAAAAAAGGAACAGAAACAGAACACAAGAATGAAAATCAAGACATTCAGAGAGTAAACAACATAAAAATAAGGGACACAGCCAATAAAAAGAACATTTATCAACATTAATATACAAAAAAAGACTGACCTGTTGACATTTTAGCTGATGTCAAATCTATAGCCCCCTCAGATGCCCCATTCTGATAGGTGAATCCATTCTTTAATTCATACCCAAAGAGCCCAGTTTCTTTGAAATTACTGTTTGATATCGAAGCCTTCATGGTACTGAGATCTTCAATAACAGGTGTTGTGGCAATACTAATTTGATAGCCAATTTGATTGTCTGGTTGTGTGGTCACAGGTGGCTGTGTTCTGCAGCTTCCTGTGAAAGGAAGCCTGTAAATTACATCACAGCAAACAGTTTGTCTTCCAGATGTAAGATCAACTGGTGTACCATCATCTTCCACAACAGTTGTAATCACTCCAGAAGATGAGGACAAAGCAACCATGGTTTTCATTGTCTTAGAAGTGGTGAGGTCTACAGGTCCAACCGCTGATGGCTCTGCGTGCATTGGCATACCATCAGTGGCATTTACAGAAACAGGCATTAGAGGAGAAGATGTGCTTGACACAGCTCTGTATGACAGATTAATAGGAATATCTGCACTGGTTGTTGGCTTAGGTGGAGTATTCACAGGTCTGTACACTATCTGTGCAAGTGGCTCAAATGGATTGTATGTGGTAAGTGGAAGTGGACCTGAAGCAGCATTTCCCAGGTCCAGAGGCTTGTCAACTGTGTTATTGTTGTAGGCAATTGTAGCTGTGCAAGTGACAATTGTTATGCTATCAGTAACAACGGAGAGTGTTGTCGTAGGGATTATTTCAGCACTTAGATTCACAATTTCTGGCTGTACAGCAGTTACCTGTCGTCCACTTGATTCACTTGACAAGGAAGACCTATTTGAATCTGGGGCTGTTAGATCCATCCCTTCATCAGTCATTGTAACATTGACTTTAAAAGTAGTAAGATCTATAACATCACCAGGGTAGTGTATTTTTCCATTCTGTTTGGGCTTAGAATGGACTTCTGGCTGGACTGTGACTGTAGCAATCACAGGTTCAGGTATTGGTTCGACAGGAATCCTCTCCTGGACAACTGACACAGTTGTTCTTTGCACTTCAGTTGTGACAACTTGGGTAACAATATTAGGCATTGTGTCAGGATGCTGCTCAGTTGTTGAGATTGCAGAATAGACTTGGCTCATGCTTGATATAACTTTATCTTGTCCATGTATTTCTTGACTCTCAATAGATTTCGTAAATTGGGTAAATGTGACTGGTAACGGTGGCACAGCTATTGCAGAAGTCACTAATTGAGTTTCTTGTTTTTGCTCATAAACTGTTTGCTGCTCTTGAATCTGTTTTATTGAAACTAGTGAGGGATCCGGCTGTTTTATTGGAGCTGGTGTGGGATCCACATCAGTCAATGCCTCTTCTGAAGCCGAGACTATTAATACTTCTTCCATATCCAAACCAGGAATGTCCTCATTCTGAGCTGGGATTGGAATCTGGGTTATTGTTATTGGTACAGAATATGTTGTTAGTATTTGTTGCATCTCAAGTTCTTGTTGTACATCACTCACTGTATGCTGAGCAACAGGCTCAGCAGAAACTCCTGACACTGGGGTTAAGGCTACTGGTACCTTGGCTGATGGTGAGGCTGAAGGCAAGGGTAGATTAGAACCCATGGAAGGTGTGGTATACATCATTGCTGGATAGAACGTTGGTTCCATGGCAATGGGTGGGGGTGGAGCTGCTGCTACTGCAACAGGTGCTGCCGAAATCATAGCAGAAGATGCCATTACAACTGGTGCTGCATCATGTGATGTTATATTCACAGATGGGAATTGCACAGTATTCTCCATTGAGACATGAGTAACATTATTCGTAGTCTGTGCTACCTCTGATGATGCCACTACAAGAGGTTCTGAAACCGATGTTTGTACAGAAGCAAGTGGCATCTCTAGAACTGTTACACAAGGTGCTGTTATACTTTGCGTTGAATTTAGAGCTGGAGTGATATGAGTCTCCATTGCGACTGAAGCAAAGTCAGGTCCCATCACCACACAGGGCGCTGCTGCATTTAAACCTGAGATAGCCTTTGGTCGGGCTGCTGTAATTTGTGCTGAAATTAATGACACGGGTGCATCCACCATGGCTGGAGCAAACACTCTTGGAGCATCATATGGAACGTGCTGCCTGGGACTTGGCAGTGATGATCTTCCCGTATGTGCTTGAGTTGTAATGCCCTCCACAGGTGATCCTGGTTCTGATGGTAATGTTATCACCACATATGTTTCAAGAGTTCTAGCAAATCTGGGTGACAAGGGCGATTTGGGTGATGAAGCACTGTGCTTGGTCTCTACAGGGGCAGCCAAACTTAGTGACAATGCACTTGGAGGTTCTCTTGTTCTTGGCAAAGTTGCAGCATGAACTGCTTGAACAACTACTGGTTCTGGTTCCGGTGGCTTTACACTCTCTCTTGACCTGTGACTAAATACCAGTCCTGGGGGAATACAGACAGGTCTGGGGGGAACCGGGGGTGGTGATTTGTGTGTTGGGGTCACAACTGACATTACAGTCATGTTGGCCATATTTTCTAGGGGTTCAGGTAGAGTTACTGTAACGGATGATGGGGTTGAAACCGTTTTATGCTGGTTAACATCAGCCTTAGGCAATGTCCTATATGGCAGTTCTGGTGGTGAAGCTGTGGGAGGTGGCGGAAATGAAATCACTGGTCTATCTGTTCTTTCTTGAGACACATAAGGTTTTGCAGATTCCATACAAGGTGGAACTGTTGAATCAGTGATGAAACTTGATACTGTGGCTGGATAAGTAAAAGGAGAAACACAAACAATAACAGGGTGGCCTCTCCCATCTTCAATAGTTGTTTTACACACCACATTTTCAAGATTTGGCACTCTGACAGCAACTTGATCTTCCTGTGTCTGTACATCAGGATAAATGATTTGTGAAACTGATTGTTGTGAAGAAATTGCATCATCTGATACATTTTTCTGCAGTATTTCTGTCATCCTTGGCTGAATATCAGCCAGTATAGATTGAACAGGTTGGGAGGTTGAAGCTCCGAAAGCAACAGTTGTAGTAATAGTAGGAGAAACAACAGAGACTGTCTTTTCAGCAATATGCTCTCTGTGTTCTGTTGGAGGTGAAATAGGGGCTTCTTGGCCTAATATGGGTGCCATGTCTGATCTGGTTTTCACTGGTCTCTCAATAGGAATTTGAATAGAAACACTGGCCACTGGCTGAGTACCTCTTGCTAAAGCTGGTATAGTGGTACAGGGAGATGGTGGTGTGGCCACTTGTTCAACAACTGAGCTGGTTTGCTCTGTAGAGAGCACATTTGCTGGTATTGAGGCTGATACCAACGTTGGAACAGAAATAGGTGCTTGATCCACTGCTGAAACTGTCACTGGAAGTGGGACATAGGTTTGATAAGGTACGGGACAAGTCACAGAGATTGACTGTGCTGGAGATGTGACCAGGTCAGGAATTTGGGCAACAATGGGGGTAGTTGAAGGATTCTTGAGTGAAGTGAATGGCAATGTAGACTCTGAAACTGAAGTTTGTTTTAGAACTGGATGCTCTAATGCAGGGGGCGCATGATCTGGCATTTGAACAACAACGTACGTTTCTATTAAAGGTGTTTCTTGAGATTGAACAATATGTGTAGCAACAGTAGTTGTAGGGGATTTCACATGCTCTACATTTGGATGAGTCATTGGTGCAACAGTTTGTTTGTCTGTAGAGGCTGATTTAACTGGAGATGGTTCATGTATTGCACCAGCTAAAGGTTTTTGTGTATGGGAAGAAACCCTATCCAGAGTAGGGACTGTTTCCAGTGTAGACTTTGGAATTACTGTTGGTTTTGGGGCCAAGTTTGGTTTTGGACCTATTGTTGGCTTTGCAACAAGAACTTTAGGAGTTTTAGTCGAAGTGTCAGAGTTTTCTGAAACATGTGGCGAGGCTGGAATATCTCGTGAAGGGGATTCAATAATCTGTGTGGAAGATGCAGTAGGAGCAGTTTCAATTGAAACATCCGTTGTAGCTTGCTCTGACACAAAGTCTGGCATGTGAATTACAACTGGGGCAGAAACATCAGCAACACTGGGGCTAGCTGGAGTAGATGTCTGGTCAGAAACTGGAGAGGATGATGACCGTACTGCTGAAAGGTCTATATTTGAATCTGGGGATGAGACTGCTGGGGATGTCGGAGGAGACAGTGGTGATATTGCTGATGTCTCCACAACATTTTTTGATGAAGGAACTTCACAGATCACAGAAATGGGAACAGACTCAAATGTATCTTCTGGGGTTTGAGGTTGCCCTTCACTTTGAGAAATATCCCTTGTGTCAGGTGACATTTGTTCTTGTGTGACACTGTCCTCCTCTTCAACTTCCTCTTCACCAGAAGAGCACTGAGTGATCTTTAAGTCAGGAATTGGATATAAAGCTTTATTCACAGATACATCCTGAGTAGATGTTGACTCTGTAATGTAAGGATGCAAAATGCACTCAATAGGTTCAGTTATATTGTCTTCTTCCCCACTTGAAGGGATGACTATCACCTCAGGGGAATCATATGATGACTCAGACACAGTCAGAGGTGAGATGGGAGACAGAGGAGTTGATTGTGTTGGACTTGATCCTGGTGTTAAAACATCTTTTTGGGTTTTCACTTCATAGGCATCCTCTGTTTGCAACATTGGCTTTGCATTTTTATCTGAAGTAAGCGCATCATTTCCAGAAATATTCACATAACAAGTGTCACTGGCATAAAGTGGCAAGGATGTGTCAACCATTGATGTATCCGTTTGCTGGGCCTCCTCTTCTTTTTGCGGGATCGTGTTCCTTTTATGCATCATGTCCTCATAAGCCTTACCAAAAGCTGTTGCAGCCTGGTCTTTTTCCTCAACTAAAGTTTCATAAGCATAGTCCTCTATTAACATGCCTCCATATAATGGTTCAATATCAGGTGGTGAGCATTTCTCTGATGTTTTATATTCCTGTGCTTTCTCCATCATTTCCTCATATACCTCTTCAGCACTCTTTAATTGGATTGGATTATCTGCAGCATCATGCGTTTCATGTGATAATGTTCTGTATTCTGCATCCTCTGGTTCAGATTCAACACTAGGTGAAAATTCAGAGGAGGACTTGCTTTCCTCCATCCCTGCAACCAGTTGTAATTTATCAGTTTTAGTCAAATGATCACGTCTCCTTTGCATCCCCAGAACATCTCTTTCTGTCTTTATTTTTTTCGTGACCTTTCTTAACTGCTGCTGATCATCACGTTCATCTTCCTGCTCCATTTGTTGATCACCCTCCTCACGTAACTCATCTTCGTCAGACGAGTCCTCTACAGTGGGAAGAGCCTGGCCGTGTGGTCTGTGTTTTGCCTTTCTTTGCTGTTTACTCTCTGCTTTTGCCTTTTTATCACTTGGGCTGTCACTGTCTTCATCAATAGAAGACACAGAAGTAGGAGAAGCTGTTCCTGGTGTAAAGCTGGATACCTGAACACTGGAAGACCCATCACCCTTGGACAAGTCTTCGATCAGACTCTCATACTCCTCTGTGGTCTGTCTAATATGATTTTTTTGTGCAATGGCAACAGCTGTGTCAGCAGTTGTGCTATTCTCATTGTCCTTTGACTCGTCTGTTTTCATTATTGATTCTTCCAATGCTTCCGAAACAGGGATGACTTGGGCAACTTGATCATCTTGGTAATGAGAAGACAGGCTGATATCAGAAATCTCCTCAGGTTCTACAGTAAGTTTCTTTAGGGCAGGTTCATGCTTTATGGAATCATCAGATTTTTCGGTCTCTCTGGTTTCCTGCTGTGTTTGTTGCTCTTCTCTGACTTGGTTTTCATCATCAGATGGTAAGTTCTCATCTTCACCCATATGCATAAGTTGTCTTCTTATGAACTCTTCATCGTCTCCAGAATTTGAACTGTCTAGTTTGTAGTCCTCACTGCTGGAAGAAGCAGGCATCACTCTTCTTCTCTGTATCTGAGGGGAATGTTCACTCTCACTGCTGTCCTCATGGTATTGTTTTACACTCTCATATGCTCTAACAGGTAAGAGTTTTGTAGCAGTTTCTTTTATGGCCATTTCACTGACTCTCTGTATCTCCTTAAGCTCTTCCTCAGCTGAGCTGTATGATTCTATCGAAACCGGCATGATGTCCTTTCTTTGTTGCTCTGTAGCATCTGCTTTTAAGGTGTCTACATTAGAATTCTCTGAAATACTGCTATCAATTTGTATTTCAACATCTTCTTGTTGTCCATTCTTTGTAGAATGAGTATATGTATCCTGTTTAACCTGCGTATAATAAAGAAAAAATATTCAATTAAATCTGTAACGACAAAAACATGAAATTACTACTGTAGTTGTTTCCTTTAAACAAACATGCATCCTCCTATTCATAAAAAAAATACTATTTAAGTAAACATTAGAGGCTGTGCTGTATCGTGAGAAAGTCACGGCAGAATTGTTATGCATGAAACAAAGCGGTATGTAACTTCTGTTGCAACCCCAACAGAAGTTACATACATTATTTCGCAAATAGATGGTGGCAAATACTGTCTCTTTGAAATCATGAGTGACATTGAGTGACACTGTCTTTATGAGTCACACTGAAGGGACTTTACATTGAAAGGACTTTGAACATTGAACTTGTGTTCACAGAGAAGGAAGACACAACTGACAGATGACTATCAGCACAGGGAAACCCCTTAAAGGATAATTCCGGTATTTAACACCTTGAGTCTATTTTGTACTTTGTTTTGAATGAAATAGAGTGGTGGACCTAAAAATTTCGACAATGGGTCCTGTCTCGACTTTTTGACTATTTTAGAATCGCCTGTAACAGCTTTAGACTGGGTGTCTATGGGCATGCACAAACATGTCCTTAAAACAACCCTTAACGTTCATTTTCAAAACTGTGCAACTCACCGAGTGGTTGGTGGTGTTCGTTGATGATTAAAAACAAATATATCGGCGCAGTGTATGCTTTCAATCTGTGTTGTTTGCTATAGTGGAACTATTTTTTTCTGATACCTCACAACCGCGTATAAACTTCCGCTCGATATTTGAGTCTGAAGCGTTTGCACACTCCCGACCACTTGATGGCAACAACCAGGATGCTGTATGGAACACGGTGTCTAGCGCACCGTAAAAAAAGTCACAGACACATTCGAATATGGCAAGACCTATGGGCAAGACGGAGAACCGAGCGAAAAGACTACAACCAAATGTAAACAGACCCCTTTCCGTTTTCCTACCTAGCACAGTAATATCAACGAGCACCGAGTCCTCCAGCAGACATCAATGCGATTTTAAAAAAATGACAAATAAAACACGACAGAAACGGTTTTTCGCTACTTGTTTCGGAACATCAAGGAACACCACCAACCACTTGGTGAGTTGCACAGTTTTGAAAATGAACGTTAAGGGTTGTTTTATGGACATCTTTGTGCAGGCCCATAGACAGCCAGTCTAACGCTGTCACAGGCGATTCTAAAATAGTCAAAAAGTCGAGACAGGTCCACTACTCTATTTCATTCAAAACAAACTACAAAATAGACTAAAGGTGTTAAATACCGGAATTATCCTTTAACTGTTAAAAGGACAAGATATCGCACTGGACATTCAAACAGATTTTTTTTTTCATATTATGAATACTGGACTGACCTTAAGGAAAATGCAATATCTACTGTAAATGCAGGTACGCTCGCTTACTCGATCTCTTACAATTCTCTACTATACAATGAACAATATCAATCAAACATGTGTTTGCCAAGTTGCAAGTTGCCAAGAGTGGTTGCTAGGGGTGTTGTGTAGTGATACATATAGTGTTGGGGTAGAGTTAACTACAAGTAGCGATGCTACTAACTTAACTAAATTTTTCAATAGCTTGGCAGTAGCTCAGTTGCTTTTTAAACAATGTAGCTTTTCCAGTAGCTAACTACTTTTTGCAGCAAGTAGCGGTGTAGCGCGAGCAAAAGCTACATTGCGTTTGTCGAGCCTGCACGAATCAGCGCGATGCAAGGATATTCTTCTTGTTAGATTACAAACTCATTTTTTGCCATTACCGCCAAGTGTTGTTTAATCACGCATCTTGCGGCTAATGGTTTACTGTCGTACAGAAGTGGGTTGACACCCATATTATGATTATCCATGATGGAACAAGACATGACGGCAGATTTGGAGGATGGAGAAATAACTAACGTTAATTACCCATGGCCTTATTTGTCCAAGTTCAATCGGTATTTTTGAGAAAATGTTCTACATGCAATTTACGTTGGATGTATATTTTGTTCTTGCAATGTTGTAGGCTATTTGTTGCAATGTTGCACTTTTGACAAACAGTCTGAGATATTTGAGTGTTGTGTGTAATAAAACAATACTATTTGAATTCATAATTGCATTGCCTTGTTTTAAACACTAAATATTTTACCTAAAACATTCCTCAGACTCTTATTCAGTTATTTATAATATACGTTCTTTAAAAAAAGCATTGCGAATAAAACACAGAATCAAGGATTGAAACTAACCGTTTTATAATATAATATAAACAAATCTTTGAATTAGGTAAAAAAAAAAAACCAACAGATTCTTGTATTGCTCAATAATGTGTATGTAATACTATACCATTGTCACTGCTGGAAGCATAGACATTGATCCTCTATCAATGTGTGTCTCGTCTGGGACATTGTCTTTGCCAGTTTCTTTCAAATTGACCTCAGCAGCAGTAATAACAGCTTTCTGAGACTCTGCAGCTGGTATCTTATCTGTGGTTGGAACAACAGAGAGAGGTGCAGGGACTGCTGGATCGGTCACAGCTGAGTTTTCAACAGTAGTAGGGGTGGTTTTCTCCTCTGCCTGCTTTCCAGGAGATGGTTTTGTCTTTAGAGTAGGTTCCTGTGAAGGTGCAGGAGTCTCGGAGAGCTGTGTTTTGGGTGTTAATGTAGGCTTGTCTTTTGTGGATACAGGGCCAGGTATTGATATTTTCCCCATGTCTCCCAGCTGCCCAGCTATAGCTCTCTGTGTTTGACAATTCAAACACAACCACTCAGCCTTAAAAACAAAAAAAAAAACAACAACAATAATGAGATAAAACCCACAAGGAGATATACATGAATCTAAATCTATCTATATCTATAAATGAATCTATGTATTATATATATATATATATATATATAGGCTACACACAGGTGAAACTCAAAAAAATAATAATATTGTGCAAAAATAGTATATATTTCAGTAATTCAACTGAAAAGGTGATACTAATATATCATATATTACTTATATAGACTGATATATTATTATAAGTGAGATATTTCAAGCCTGTATTTGTTATCTTAATGATTATGGCTTCCAGCTATGAAAACCTTTTCACAATATTCTAATTTTGAATTTGGGGTTTTCATAAGCTATAAGCCATAATCATCAAAATTATAACAAATAAAGGCTTTATATATCTCACTTTGCATGTAATGAGTCTATATAATGTATTATTTTCACCTTTTAAATTGAATTACTGAAATATTTTTTTTTTTGCGTTTCTTGGCTATATATATATATATATATATATATACAGTATATATCCAAGAAACTCAAAAAATATCATGCAAAGTTAATTTATTTATATATTGTGATTGCCCTTATTGTTCAAGTGGAACCACATATCAGAAATTATATATGCTTGAATAAATAACTTGAATGAATAAATCTTAGTGCATTTAGAATAAATTAACAATGAATACACTGTGACTTTTTACAAAGGCTCTTTCCATTATTCTTGCAAATAAGAGCCACAGTAAAACACTTGTCTCTGTTCCTACAGGAAACTATGTTTACACATGTTTATGTCCATGTGTGTGTGTGTGTGAAAGAGAGAAGAAATAAGAGAAAAAAAGTTAGAACATGCTACAGTGTGATTTAAACACACAGGAGAGTAATAACAGGAGATTAGGGTTTATTTCAGTGACGCAAACAAACCATAATTCCTTGGCACATGGTCTGAGTACTGTTCTTTATGATGTAACACCCCCTCTGTCTCTTTTGTCATACTCAAAAGCTTATTCACAAATCTGTGATTATAAAAAAAAGTATTTTTTTTTTTTTTTAGAAATTGCATTGTAAATCAAATAATTTAAAAGAAGAGTATATGCAATTGAGTTTCAAAGGAAAGAAATTGAAAAAAAAAACAAATCCCAAGACGAACTCCAGACCATAACTGAAGCCATAACTCCCAATTTAGCTATCCTGTTAGGAAAACCCTACTAAATATCTTTGTTTGTACTGTAGATCATTTGTATGTCAGCCTCTCTTGTCTCTCTTTCTCTCTCTATCTCTAATGGCGTTGTATTAATGATTGCAACAGAAAGCAGACAGATGTATTCTGGGTGTTTTAACATTGTGTACCAGGGAGAAGAAATTAGGCACAGCCAGATGATGATAAACATATGTAATCACAGACAAAGATTCTAAGTCAATGAGGTAGATTAGGCCAACCTTGCTCTTCAGAACATCTGAATTACATCAAAATTGACTAAAAAATAAGGGTTTGACTGGGTCATTACTAAGTGTCACCATGGAAACCAGATAAGATTTATCCCCTTTGGAGAACAGTTTGTCCTCCAGAGCCTTTAGCAATGTACCAAATCATGCAGACAGCATTTTAAGGCACCTTAAGCGTGCTTTCAAAGTTAAGTCCGTTCCGAAAGCATTGCATCTTCATACAGAAGCTAAATTAATTAAGGGGGAAAAAAAGGAAAATTAAAGAAAAATGTATTACATTTGAGATATTATAATAAAAGTTAAGGAAAATTAAGGAAAAAATAACCCAAGATTGTGGACAAAGTTGAGAGAAATTAAATAAAGAAAGTGATAAATTAAAGTATAATTTAATCATCATTATAATAGACTGGTTTATTCAGTATTATTGTGAATGTGCGTATGCTATTGAATTGTAATCTTAGCAACATGCTAATATCAAACTCTACTGAAATCCACTAAAGTGTTAAAGAGTGTTCCAAATCAGATACATGTGGAGATTAGACCAGCTAGGCAGCTCATAGGTTTTGGAACAGAGCTTTAAATTATAGATTTTATGCTTTTGCAATTTTAAAGGGGTGGTATAATGCCCCTTTTTACAACATGTAAAATAAGTCTATGCTGTCCTCGGAGTGTGTACGTGATATTCTAGCTCAAAATACCCCACAGATCATTTTTTTACAGCATGTTAAAATTGTCCATTTTTGAGGGTCAGTAAAAACGTTTATGCAAATGCAAATGAGCTACTGCTCCCGTCCCAAGTGGGCGGAGTTTCAACAGCTTGCGTGTGTTAGCAGCCCTGATTACCTCAAGCAGACAAACACACTAAAATGTCAGAAACTGGTCTGCGTTTTATGTTTAAACTGGAGTCGGACAATGATGTAGAGACTCAAGAAGAAGTGACAACAAGTAGAATGCAACAGGACGTTTCTGAATGTTTAGTTGATGAATTTATGTTGCTGATGTGGAGTTAACTACAGTATCTTCAAGTCTTTGTGTAGCATATTCTGTCATATCTACAAAGATACTCTGTATCTTAATAAACAAGTGTTTGGAAATGCTTTGTTGTTCTTGTGAATTTGGGCAAATGTGTGAATAATGTGTAGTAATGGAACATTGGCGAGGTAACCTCATAGAGCAGCCTATTTAGCGAGAAAATCCCCCAAGGGCACTTCTGAGAAAGAGAGGCTTCAAGAGGAATAAAGTGCTTCAACATCCAGTACTTAATAAATCCAGTAAATAATACAACAAATATGAACAGGATATGCCAGATAACTACTATAATATATATATGCAAATGTATCTATTAGAGCAAGATAAATTAACTCACAAACAGCCATTACATGAACTGAAAGGCCCATGCTTGCAAAAAGAAATGAGAACAAACTCATTTTAATACTGGCTGTGGCTTTAGTAAAAGTTGCAATCATCACCACTAACTGATAGACCAACGCCACTTTTGCGTCATCGAAGGGTAACGCCCCCTTTTGGGGGAAAACACCTCTATACTGTCTATGGGAAAACATACGGATTTCCATGAGAACAGAACTTGCACTAGATCTGCAAAGTTTCTTGATAGCAAAAATGGCACAAACTTAAAGAAGCTAACGTTACTGAATACGGGGTTACAGAGGTGTCCCTTTGAAATGGTCGAAAACTGGATTAATGACCCCACACAGCGGCCAAATATGGACTATTCAGACATCTAACGATACCACTATCTCGTGGAATCACCAAGTAAGTAGCCTTTTTTATTTATTTATTTATCATTTACACACTCACAGTAGCCTATGACAAACTACTAGACGATGAGGCCATGTCACTTGGATCATATTTAACTTGATTTACGCTATTGACAGTTTTGTTGTTGACTAGCTATTAGAAAGACTAGTTGTTAGCAGCTAACGTTACCTTATTAGACTATGTCAATAGCTTAAATCAAGTTAAATATGATCCATTCATCGTCTAGTTTGTCATACTGTGTGTTAATGAAAAAAAAAGGCTACGTGCTTACTTGGTGATTCCACGAGATAGTGGTATCGTTAGATGTCTGAATAGTCCATATTTGGCCGCTGTGTGGGGTCATTAATCCAGTTTTCGACCATTTCAAAGGGACACCTCTGTAACCCCGTATTCAGTAACGTTAGCTTCTTTAAGTTTGTGCCATTTTTGCTATCAAGAAACTTTGCAGATCTAGTGCGAGTTCTGTTCTCATGGGAATCCGTTTGTTTTCCCATAGACAGTATAGAGGTGTTTTCCCCCAAAAGGGGGCGTTACCCTTCGATAACGTAAAAGTGGCGTTGGTCTATATCTTGGCTGTCTTATGCATATGCAAATCAGAAGAATCAGGGAGACCAATCAGAAGATTAATTAACCATAAAAGGAACCAATCCTCTTTTTCAGTTCAAATTTGTGAATGTCCTCATCACTGCTGCTTGTCATTACAGCATGAAGGCAATGTAGAGTGCTGATTATGGCACATAAATAAAACAAAAAGGCTGGAGTGTGGGCGCTACAAACAGGAACATATCCAAAACGTGTTTAATCAAGGTAGTAAATAGGGATGCACAAAACTACGTATTCATAAAATCTATAAGCTCAGTGTGTTGCCTGAAAGACTACACGACTAATCTGTCGTGGAATAATTAGGCTAGTTCATAGGGGTGTGACGAGAAGCTTATCTCATGAGATTGGGTTCATGAGAACGAGACAAGACGAGATTTTTGCACAATTTTTCAGAAATCCTCAATGACAAAATTCATGACTGGAAAAATGGTATGCAGGTGCATTTTGCAATCGTTTAACTAATAACCTTCTAATGCATGTCATTTCAGGTCTACTTTATGAGTGTGAATTAACAAACGCATTAAAAAAGAAAACAATTTCCAAGCAATGTAAAAGGTTTTTATTGACTGGCTTTTCACATGAGTCTCTTCAGACCTTACTCTACATTTACGAGCTTTCAGAACTTCTGATTGAGGATGTGTGTGAACTCCTTGAAGTCTTAAGTGCAAACAATAAGTGCAAGTGCAACCATAATCAAAGTTAGCACACAGACTCTTTTTAATTGTTTTGAAATTGCTGTTTTATTTTGCACCGGCAGATAAAGTAGACCTGAAATGACATGCATTAGAAGGTTATTAGTTAAAAGATTGCAAAAATGCACCTGCATACCATTTTTTCATGAATTTTGTCATTGAGGATTTCTGAAAAATTGTGCAAAAATCTTGCCTCGTTCTCATGAACCCAATCTCTTGTCTCGTCTCGTCTCTCGTCTCGTCACACCCCTATGAACCAGCCTAATTATTCCAAATTTTCAGAAGACAGATTAGTCATGTAGTCATTCAGGCAACACACTAAGCTTATAAATTTTATGAATATGTAATTTTGTGCATCCCTGTTTAAACACGTTTTGGAACTGTAGTTACAGTCGTAACCGAGCCATTTTCTCCTATAGAAGTGTAAATCACCCACAAATTATTCACATAGTCTTTTATTCAGTAACGCTGACATTTCAT